CGGAGCCGAAAAATGTGGGGCGCCCTGCTCGGCCCGCTGCTGTGGCTCCGGCTTCTGCTGCTGTCGCCGCGGGACGGAGTGTGCGCCGCGCCCCAGGCCCCGTGAGTTGCCCCGCGCGACTGAGGAGGCTGGCTGTCTTCTCGGGGAGGGGGGTCCCGGGGACTGGCTCAGAGAGGTGCAGCGACCTGTCCAAGGCTACACAGCCTCCGCACTGGGCGGGACCTTGTCCCTTGACTTCCAGGGGTCGGGCTGGGAAGGGGTCCCCCTGAGCCTTCTTGAGGGGGCCACATCCAAGTGCAGGGAGTCCCCAGGGCTAGGGCTGCGAGGCCAGCGCCTCCTCCCCAGCTCGCCCCCTTGGCGTGACGGGGGCTGTCGTCTTGGGTGGCGATTTCAAGTTGCCCGTGGCATGAAGGTAAGAGGTGCGTGTCTTGGCTGGGAAATAGGAGAGACCTACCGTTCCGTTTTCCTTGGGAGGGCGTGGTGGTGGGGAGGAAGTTTGTTTTGCTTCCACATTTTTCTTGAAGTTTGCCTACAGAGCTTCTGGTGAGTTGACACAGTGAGGAGGTGAATTAACTAGCTGCTAAGGAGAATCCCCCATGAGCTGGCGTCCTCGGGAGTATTTCCAGACCTGCAAGGCCGTGGGTTCCGGGGGGCTGCCTGGAGCTGCCCAAGTTCAGCCGTTTAGGCGGGCCTCGGTCTTCATGAGGTGGCTTGTTCAAGCAGTGCTTGTTTAGTCCAGAAAATAGGACAATAGTGGGGCTGGGGGGTGGTGTCTCTTCCAGCCACAGCTCCTTTGGGATCACAGTTTGAGAAGTAAGACACCATACCGTGTCGGTGCCCCTGGACCCTGTGAAATTGGAATCCAGCAAATTTTTGTCCTGATCTTTCAAACCGGGCATCCCTTAAACACAGAGGTTTTCAGCCAGGTTGGGTGGGGCGGGGTGGGGGGGGGAGGGGGTTGTTTCCTTGGTGGTCGTTTGGCAATCCCAGGGGCATTTTTGCTTGGCGTCTAGGGGAGGCAATGCTTCTGGAATCTACTGAGTGGAGGCCAGGGATGCTGCTCAACATTTTGCCACACCCAGGTCCTCCGCCACCACAAAGCTTGACCTGGCCCGAAATTAGAGACCCTGCCTTCTAAGGGCCAAGTTCAGAGTCTCCGAGTTGCAGAGTTTCAAGCAGTTCTCGGGAGTGTGGGCCTCTGACTAAAGTCATCCTGGGATATTACCTTCTGTCGAGGGAAATGTAGTCCCTGTGCTGGAGACACGGGCTAGGAAATGAACTTGCAGAATTACTGACCCAGGGTTCTAGATTCGTCGGCCTCTAGGCCAGAGCTGTGGGATCCTGTTTTGGGAACAGCCCTGGATACCCGCTTCTGAGATCTATGTGATTTTTGCATGAGGGATCCCTGACCCCAGAAAGCAACGTGGGTTTACACCCTGTAGTAAGACCAGTGCTGTCTGCTGTTTACCATACACTGCCTTTCCCAGGCTGGGACCTTCTGAGACCAAAGGATGAGAAGCCAGTTGTCGGTCCACATGCCCAGGGCATGCATCAGGTCAGCAGTGCTTGGGTAGCAAGCATCCCAACAGCTGCAACTCCTGAACCTCAGGGAGAGTTCATGTGGTTTCTTCGGGCTCTCTGGGGTCTCCGGGTGAGAAATCTACCTCAGCTCTGGACAAAGGCTTTACGAGGTGACCGAGGAAAATGAACACGGGGGTTGTATATTCCCCAGATGCTCGTCCACACTCTGCATGGGCTATGTGGGAAGCCCTAGAGGTCAGCTGGGAGCTGGGAGATGGAAACAGTATTCCTTTTATTTTTTTTTTAAGTTTATTTATTTATTTTGAGAGAGAGAGAGAGGAAGCGCAAGTGGGGGGAGGACAGAGAGAGAAGGAGAGAGAGAGAATCCCAAGCAGGTTCCGCACTATCAGCCAGGAGCTCAACGCAGGGGGCTTGAACTCACGAACTGCCAGATCACGATCCCAGCCGAAGTTGGATGCTTGACCGGCTGAGCCATCCCAGGCGCCCCAAGAGTATTCCTAAAGGAGACGGGGTTCCCATGCTGCCGCACCACAGGACACATGGGAAGCCAGAGTCATTGCATGCCTGGGTCCGTGGTGGAATTAGATAACACACAGCGCGTACCTAGCGCGACGATGCACTCCAGGAAGCATAGTTATGTACTGTGGGTCCCAGGGTCACCGTCTGCTATGTGAACTGCTGAGAGGAGACGTTGCACAGGGGAGCTCGGGGTCTTTACCGGTTCCAGTCATCGCTGGATCTGGGCTGTGTACCTACCAAACTGGGGTCTTTGCAGATTCCCATCAGTGCTGGAGTTACATGGTACGTGGTTTGTACATGGTATGTCCCGAGGTCCTTGTGGGCCCCGAACAGTCCTGAAGTAGGACAGTGCATGTAGGAACCCAGGATTCGTGAACTCTGGCCACTGTTCAAGCTGGACGGAGCGCAGTGGGCGCCCAGGGTCGGTGCTGTGGCCAGACGGTACTCAACAGGAGCCCACCGCGTCTTTTGAAATGCTCGATTTGTCATGAAGTTTTAACGAAGTCCGCTTCGTCCACAATTTTTTCCACAGATTGAGCTTTTAGTGTCGTAGTCACAAAACGTCTGCCTAACCCGAGCGCACCAAAGCCTTCCTCCTATGTTTCTTTCCGGTGTTTTTAGAGTTTTACCTTTAGATCTCTGACCCGGTTTGAGTTCGCCTGAGTGTATGATGTTCGGTAAGGGTCTGAATTCGTGTCTTTGTCATGTGAACGTGGGGTTGTCCCAGAGAGGATCTTGAGAAACGAAAATCTCTCCTAATCTCATTGCCTGGCCTCGTGTTTTGCCTTTTGCCTGTTTCCTTCTGGTGCCTGTAGTTCTGCACCGTTGGGCTTCTGCCTTTGCTGTCTAGGCTCTTGGTGTTTACTGTTGCATCGTGAGACGTTTTCGCGGTTAGGTGAATAAGACTTCTTGAGTATCCATGGATGGTTCTAGAATAACAGAGGCAGGAACTCAGGTGAGGAGGATCTGTACCTCAGGTCGGGTGCCCTAAGGGCGTCCCAAGGCTCTCCCCTGTCTGAATGCCATCTGCCGCATGTTCCTTCTCCTTTTGGAGCGACTGCTTTCCCGTCTGGAAAGTGAGATGATGCTATTTATTCTCCAGGAGTATCTTCACGGTTAGTTAAGCTGAGGATTTTCAGAAAGAGAGGGCCGTTTTGGTTCCACTGTTCACAGAGCATTTCCTGTTTCAGGCCATTTAGTTGATTTTTCAGGGTCCTGTTCTTCAAATGCTGCAGGAAGCTCCTTGCTTCTTGCCGCTGGGCGCTGGAGTCTGGCTGCCTCGGTTTGAAACCTGGGTTGGGCACATGGCTTGGCTTTCTCCAGGGCTTAATTTCTGACTCTGTAAATGGATGGCTTGAGCACATCTCCCAGGGCGGCTGTGAGGATGAAGTGGGATCCTGTCAGTTCCTCGGGGAAGTATTTCGCCGTGTAGGTGCGGCAGGAGCAAAGGTCCTGGGGCAGAATGAGCTGACTAAAAAGGCCCGAGGCCAGAATGCAGACACTGAAGGAGGGGTGTGGTGCTGGGTAGATACAGAGAGGCCAGATTCTTACCTAATCCGGGGGCTTCAGAGATGAATAAGCCAGCCCCTGGTCTCCAGGAGCTCACAGGTTGGTGGGGGACACAGATAACATAAAATGACAGTGTCATCGTGGTGTGGGCAGGCATAGGTAGAAGACCACCCAGGGAGCACCCTGATGCAGCCAGAGTGGCAAGGAGGCCGGAAGTGGGTCAGTTTCACTCAGGTTCTCCTCTCCTACAGGGGCTATTTGATTGCTGCACCCTCTGTCTTCCGCTCGGGAGTGGAGGAAGTCATCAGTGTGACCATCTTTAACTCCCCAAGGGATGTCATGGTCCAGGCTCAGCTGGTGGCCCAGGGCGAGGCGGTGGCACGGAGCCAGGGAGCCATCCTGGGTAGGTCCCTGGGGTGCTTCCTTCGTCTCTCTTTGCAAAGTGGCCTTTACTGCCTGGCCAGGGCTCAGGCCGTGCGGGCACTGCTTTGCTTCTCTCCCACCCCACCTCCCAGCAGGGGAGGGAGAGCGGGTTGCCTTTTCCCCATTTTCCATCAGAGTCCGTTGTTCCTCGGCAGCCCAGGTTCTGTGGGTGCCGATCCGGATGGAGTCGGGAACCCTTCTGTGTCAGCTTTGGCTAGAGGGGGGGGGCCTGGACCCAGAGGGAATCGCAGGACCATTTCAGACCTTTTGTTGAGCTTCTAGCACCCCTGTGGTGTTAGGCCCAGACCTGGGCTTACAGCCAGACTATCACTGAGTTGAGCTCAGGCCCCCAGCCAGCCTCTCCCCTGCTGCCCTTGGTGAACCTCAGATAACAACAATGCTGGCCTCCTGGACGGAGCTGGTGAGAGCAGGGACCTGTCCAGCAGGACAGACAATTCGTTCTTCACGCAGAGTGTGATTTGGCCACAGGAGATGCAGAGGCGATGTCCGGGCTCTCAGGCCCGCAAGGCAGTACCTGTCCCCCAGGGAGACGAGGGAGAGGCTGACCTGGAGTGGAAACCGGGAGAGGGCTCGGGCAGGTGGGAGCACAGCAGTCCTGTTGGCCAGTCCCCAAACCCAGATCACGTTGGCTTCAACAACAGTGTTTATGGGCTGTCACAACTAGAAAAGGCCACTGGCATCACTGGCTGTCTCCCAGGCCCACTTCTGGATGGGCCTGTGTCTCCCCAAAGTTGAGAGAGGAAGCGGTTCTCAAGACCTCTGAGAAATGTCCCATCATTCCCTCTGATTGTTCTATCTTGGGTCATGTGCTCAATCCTGACCCAACCCCTTGGACTGGGGAAGCCAATGCTGATTGGCCCATTTTGGGTCATGTGTTCAACTCTGAACCAATCACTGTGGCTGAGGGAAGACCTATGTAGATTTGCACCTAGCCCCAAGAGAGATGGGCAGAGCCCCACCAAGCCTCATGAATTGGGAGCTGGGGAGGTGGCGCCCCCAAGGAAATCAGGGTTCTGCTAGTGGAAAATGGGGAATGAGTTTTGGGAGGCAAAAACAGTAGATGCTAAATCAAGTCTTAGAGGCTAGAAAGCCCAGAGAGTGTCAGAATGGTAAATGATTCTGTTTGGGTAAAGAGAGAAGTGATGGGAAAATAGATCTACTGGAGTGAGGTCCACTGGGGACCTCAGTCTCCTCTTCTTTCTCTCCACCCTTCTCCTTGTTCCACTCCCCTGGAGTTTTCCCTTTGCTCTCTTCAAGCTTACCTTGGGTAGGGGCCAAGGGTGAAGTGAATTGAATACAGGCTGGCCAACTTTCCCCTGAATAACTCAGCCTTGTCCATCCCCTCTAGCCTTCAGCTTTCACCACCTAGGAGGAAACATCTCATTTTTCCCAATCCCAGCCCAGGCCAGACCAGCATGACCCAGTGTGTGTGTTTGTCTACAGAAAATCCCTCTGGGTAGAGAAGGCTCCTAGTTGTAAGGCTGCAGCTCAGGGAGGCAGGAAAACACGGCTCCCAATTTAACTGTTGTCATTTAATTTTTATTTTTGTAGATAAAGGAACAATCAAACTCAAGGTAAGCTATGAATTTTTAAAATCATAAATCCTACCTTGGAAATAATTGATTTGAAATGGAGCGAGAGAAGTTGCATGTGTGGTGAGAAAAATGAAGAAAAAATTGAGAAAAGGAGAAAACTCACCTGTAATCCCATCCCCTATACTTTTTCCTTTTGTGTTTCCCATAAATCTTCATCCACAAAAAGACATTTCTAGGGATGCCTGGGTGGCTCAGTTGGTTGAGTCTGACTCTTTTTTTTTTTTTTTTTTTTTTTTTTTTTTTTTTTTTTAATGTTTACTCTTGAGAGAGAGAGTACACGTGAATGCGTGCATGCTAGGTGGGGAGGGGCAGAGAAAGGGGGACAGAGGATCTGAAGCGGGCTCTGCACTGACAGAAGTCAGCTCGATGTGGGGCTCAAACTCATGAACAGAGAGATCATGACCTGAGCTGAAGTCAGATGCTCAACCGACTGAGCCACCAGGCGCGCCGAGTGTCGGACTCTTTATTTTCTCTGTCTCCCTCTGTCTCTGCCCCTCCCTCCCCTGCTCACGCTCGCTCTCTTTCTCAAAGCAAATAAATAAACTTAAAACAAAAAGGTATTTCTTTCATCGTTGCAATTAAAGGGTAGACACCCTGTCGTTTCCTGCTCTTTTCTCTTAACACACTGCATAAACATACGTCCATGTGTTCAAGTCTCTATAATTGTAATTTGCCCTTTATTGTAAACAGCATCCTACCGGATCTTTTTTTATGTACTAATTTACTAACCCTCTCCACCTTGTACATGGTTAGATTTTTTTAAAAGGTTGTTTTCAGGGTTTTGGTAATGTAATCTGAAAGTTGCAAGTGTCTTTGTGCACAAAGATCTATTAGCATTCAAAATTTTTTTTAATGTTTATTTATTTTTGAGAGACAGAGAGAGAGGGACAGAGCACAAGCGGGTAGGGGCAGAGAGAGAGGGAGAGACAGAATCTCTCTCTCGGCTCTCTCTCTCAGCTCGGCTTCAGGCTCCGAGCTGCCAGCACAGAGCCCGACGCAGGGCTCGAACCCACGAACCGTGAGATCATGACCTGAGCTGAAGTCGGATGCTTAACCGACTGAGCCACCCAGGCGCCCCCCCCTTTTTTTTTAATTTTGTTTTTAATGTTTATTTATATTTGAGACAGAGAATGGAGACCTTTTTGCTTGTCACAATTGGGGAGGGCACCTAGTGGGAGCTCCGAACCCCCCAAGTGCCCAGGACCGCCTTCACGACCAAGAAAGAGTCAGCCCCAGATGTCAATAGTTGGGAAACCCTTGATAAGTCCTCTTGAACTACAGGTCGGCTTTCTTGTGAATCAGAAAGCAGGGCTGCCCTGGACAGGGGTTAAGAGTACACACTGTCCCTGGCCACTGCACATCAGAAGGCACTCTTCACAGGATTGGTGCTGTGAATTTGTAGAAGAGACCACGAAGGGCTGTATCATTCTAGGACAGGGGACCAGGGGTTCTGCAGACTAGAGACGCCCAAAAAAGGTCTTGGGCTCCTCAGCTCTTAGACTGGCTCCTGCTGAGTGATTCTCAACTTGTGTGGGGGGAGATTCTGGCTCCACTGGCAGTGGCCGGAGACATTTCTGGCTGTCATGACTCGGGGGGGTGAGGGTCCTGCTGGCATTCAGTGGGCGGAGGCCAGGGATGCTCCTCAACACCCTGCAGTGACAGGATGGCCCCCGCTGCAACGAATGATCCAGTCCTTCAGGGTCAGCAGCGCCGAGGTTGAGAAATGCCGTGTCGTTCGCCAAGTTCTGTGCTCTGCCTGCAGGTGCCCACGGGCCTCCAGGGCCAGGCCCTCCTGCAGGTGTGGGGCCGCGGCCGGCGGGCAGAGGAGGGCCCCCTCTTCCACAACCAGACCTCCGTGACTGTGGACGGCCGGGGCGTCTCCGTGTTCATCCAGACGGACAAGCCAGTGTACAAGCCCCAGCACCGAGGTGGGTGGCTCGTGCAGGCTTGGGGGGAGGGCCGGCCATGGCCTGAGCTGCCGCATGACTGTCTCCTTTTCTTCCAGTGCTTATAAGCATCTTCACTGTCACCCCAAACCTGAGGCCTGTCAGCAGGAAGGTGAGAGCAGCATCTAAAACCATGTGCCTGGATAAACTTAACAAAAAACCCCCCAAAACCAAAAAACACCAATAAAACCATGTGCCTGGAATACCCCCCTGCCCCCCCTCCAACCGGGACCACCTGGCCAGGGGCACCACCAGCAACGGGTCTTTCTTCCCAATTCCTTCCGGTTTCTACCTCCGTTCTCATTTTTCCCTGTGGCTCCGAGTCCCCTGGGGAGCCAGGGGGAGGTCCGTGGGACACGGGGAGGCCAGAGCACTGGTGGGCATGTGGCAGCGTGCTCAGAGGGCGGGGGCTTTACAGGGGGGTTTGCTCACTGCCTGTCTGTCTGTCTGTCTGTGTTGCAGCTGGAAGCCTACATTCTGGTGAGTGTAGCTCTGACTTGGGGCCGATTAACCTGCTCTCTGCAGACCTGGTCTGTCTTCCCCGACTGTCTGCTGTTGAGGTAGATCCTGCCTGTCCCAGCACCTCCCAAGCCGGGGGCCGGGTCCATCCCGGGCCCCGGATCTGCCCTGGGACAAGCCAAGTGTGTGTCTGTCTGTAGATTTGCACACAGCTCCCTAAACGAGGAGCAGATCTGGCCCCTTTGTCCCCGTGTTCACACACAAGTCCCTTCAGTGCCTTGAGGGTTCATTTGCTCCCATGTAAATGGCTAATCTGGGGGCCTGTCCTCCGTGCTTGTCCCACCAGAGAGAGAGAGAGGGCTCGGGGGTGCTCACGTGCATCGGACACAAGCCGGGCGTCCTGAGTTCACTGTGCACGCTTGTCCCCCGCAGGACCCCAGGGGCTCGAGGATGATGGAGTGGAGACACTTGGAGCCACTCTGCTGCGGTAAACCTCTTCCCGTCCCCTCCCCTTCTTCCTTCTGCGGCTTGGGGGGCTGCACCTTTGGGCGGCAGGTGCAACAGATCTTCCAGGAAGATAGAATGTGCTCTGCCTGGGACCCCACCAGCCCTTCCCTGCAGCGTGGCACCCCCACCCATGCTTCTCTGGTCCCGGCATCTGGCTGGGGCTCCTGCACATAACTTGAGGCCTTTCGGGACCATCACGGTCTTGTTTGTGGGCACCAACCCCCCCTCCACATCTTCCTCCCAGCGCAGGTGTTTCGTGTCATCATCCCCTCGGGGGCTCCTGGACCCCCGACTGCCTCTGCGAGCCGGATGTAAGAGTGCAGCATCTCTAGAAGGCTTGGGGAGGGCTGACGAGCAGGGACAGGGCTTCCTTGAGTTTGGAGTCTGGAGCTGCACGGGCTGCGGCGGAGCCAAGGGCAGGACAACTCTCTCTCTTTTCCTATCAGTGGGGCACTGACATTGCTGCTGACAAAGGGTGAACTTCCAGGCCAGCGGGGGAAGCAGACATCGACTAAGCGATAACAGGCGATGACATCCGCCATGATGAGTGCTAGGAAGGAGAAATACAAACCGAGAGAGAGCAGAATGGGGTTGTCGCCCAGCCTGGGGCAGCAGAGACAATCCTGGAAGGCTGCCGGGAGGAAGAGCCTTTCCAGCAACGAAGTGAAGAAGGAGCAGAAGTTAGCCAGGAAAAGCGGGGGGACAGGGAACGCGTTCCAGACAGAGGCCAGTGGATGTCAGGGAGAGTGAGGCTGGGAACAGGAGGGAGGCCCCGGGAGTCAGGAGTGCTGACAGCAGAAGCAACAGTGAGATCGGGGGCGTCTTGGATTGCGGGGAGGTGTGTGGAGTTGATCTGAAGAACACAGAGGAAGGGAACGGCTAGCCTCCCGTTTAAAACACCCCTTGCAGGGCGCCTGGGTGGCTCAGTCGGATAAGCATCAGACTTCGGCTCAGCTCGTGATCTCACGGCTTGTGAGTTCGAGCCCTGCGTCGGGCTCTGTGCTGACGGCTCAGATCCTGGAGCCTGCTTCGGATTCTGTGTCTCCCTCTCTCTCTGTGTCCCTCCCCCACCTAGGCTCCCTTTCTCTCTCTCTCTCAAGAATAAATAAACATTAAAAAGAGTTTTTTAACCCCCTTGTGATATATGTAGACCAGAGGTGCTCAACTGGTGTGATTTTGCTCCTGGCTGAGGCCCCATAGAAAAAATGCGCGCTGGTGACATGTACCCTAAGTGTCCTCTGACCATCAAAGGCTCAGAATACGTGAGGAAAGGGACCTTTTGCCGTCGCGTTTTCCAATTCCAGAGTGGCGGAGAGAAGCAGAGGGTGCTGTTGGAATCTGGGTTTTCGCGGGAGTCCCACTGAGAACTGCCAGCACGGTGTCACTGTTGGGGACAGGCAGAGCGCGTCACACTCAGGAGGGAAAGATCCCCCAGCGGTTTGGAGTCTACGCACCCCTTCAGACTCCCCCCGCGGCGGGGCGCGTGCAAAATGCCGCCCTGACTCTCCTCCCAGTATCCGCTCCAGCCGGGGTTCCAAGGAGCAGACCCAGGGCAAAGGCTGCCCCCTGTCCCGGAGGCCGCTGGCATTTCCGGCTGCCCATTTGCAGGGAGAGCAGTGCCCAGTCTTGAAGCCTGTTGAGAATCTGTGTTCAGTTTGGGTAGCAGACTGGTGGTCAGGGGGTGGGTTCTGCCCCCAGGGGATGTAGCATTCCGTGGGGGCTACTTGGGGGTCGCCGTGACGTGGGGGGAGGAGCTACTGGCATCGCGTGGGTGGAGGCCAGAGATGCCACTCAGTGTCCTGCGATGTCCCCAACCGTGGACTGCGACCCAGCCCCAAATGTCAGCAGTGCCGAGGCTGGGAGTTGGCTCAGGCGGGAAGCAGAGTGGCTGAGCGTGGTGGCCTGTCTCCATGGCCTGTCACCTCCCTGTCCGCGTGGCATCTTGGCCACAGGGCTCCCCCAGGAAGCTGAAGGGTGACCTGCGGGGGAGCTTGTTGGGCACAGACCCCCGCCAGCCCGGGCCTTGGCCTCGTCTCTGGTTCCCCTGAGCTTTGGCTCTGGGCAGGGTGGGGGGGGGGGCAGGTCCCCGGGGTGCCTCTGTTCCGTCCTCGCTGCACCCAGCTGGCACCCTGCACGTGCACTCACCCCAGGATGACGGGTGGTCTCTCTTCACACAGGCGTCGCCAACATGACCTTCCCCCTGTCCGACCAGCCGGTGCTGGGAGAATGGTTCATTTTTGTCGAAATGCAAGGCCACATGTACAACAAGTCCTTCGAAGTTCAGAAGTATGGTAAGCCAGAGAATGTTGGGATCTTGGGATTTCACATCTGGGAGAAACCACAGACTCAGTGGTGACATCGGTGATGGGGGTGAGTGGCAGGAGCCCTGTTCACTGGGGGATCAGTGCAGACAGCTGGGCACTTTGTCATTTCCTTCTTTAAAGGATTGTCATGAACCATACGTGACAAAATTGGCCGTCTTAACTACTCGTAAGTGTATACTTCTGTTGTGTTAAGGATATTCATGTTGTTGGACAGCCATCACCAGCATCCATTTCCAGATCTTTCTCATCCTTCCAGACTGAAACTTGGTCCCCATTAAACGCTGACCCCTTGTCCCCTCCCCCGGCCCCTGGCACCCTCCATCCTACTCGTTGTTTCTCTGGGTCTGACTCGTCTAGGTGCTTCATGTGAGCAGGATCATACGGTATTATCCTTTTGTGTCTGGCTTATTTCACTCAGCATAATGGCCTCCAGATTCATCCATACTGTAGCAGAATTCCCTTCCTTTTTTTTAATTTAAATTTAAAATTTTCATTTTGAGAGAGAGAGAGACAGAACACGTATACAAGTGGGGGAGAAGGGCAGAGGCAGAGAGAGAATCTTACGCAGGCTCCACCTCGGTGCAGCCCCTGACGCAAGGCTCGATCCCACAACCCTGGGATCATGACCTGAGCCGAAGTCAAGAGTCGGATGGATGCTCAACCAACTGAACTACCCAGGCGCCTCAAATTTCCTTCCCTTTTAAGTCCATTTCTTTTGGTTCTTTTATTGTTTTCCCGAGGAAAGGCGTTTCTCGCCTTGTGTAACAAGCTCGAAGGACCAGGGTCTTTATGTTTCCTCTGTGCTGCTCCCTTGCTCCCCAAGCTGCACAGGGTGACCAGATGGCTGGATGCTCCCAAGGCTGAGTCGTGAAGCAGAGAACCCCTCCCGCTGCAAGCACTCTCCAGCCACCCCTAGTTGGTCTAGGACCTGGCCACTTGGGCGCTTCTGGGCTGGGCTGGGCTGCATTCAGGGCATGTGGCCTAAAAGTGATGAGATGTGGACCTCCTGAGAAAAAAGGGGTGTGGGTCTCTCCGAAAATAGGAAATAGAGGTGGGTCAGCAAAATCCCCAGAATGCTGCCCTTATTCAGCGAAGGGTGGTGTGGATTTCTGTGGGGTTGGCTGCTCCGTGGCTGGGGCTGCGGCTTCGCTGTTACGCCTCCCAACACCTCCAGTACTTTCTGAGGCCACCCCAGCGGTGGAAGCCGCCCTTCCCTCCTCTCTGCTGTCTCCTTCCAGTGTTGCCGAAATTTGAGCTCCTTATTGACCCGCCCCAGTATATCCGGGACCTGGACACATGCGAGAAGGGCACCGTGAGGGCCAGGTGAGGAAGAGGTGGTCAGCATGGGTAAGCCCCTCCCCCTGGGGGCGGGGAAACACGCCCAGGATACGCCCCCACCACAGGCCCCTCCCTGGGACACCTCCCCATGACATGCCCCTCCCTGGGATATCCCCTACAGGCATGCCCCTCCTCCCTCAGGTATCCTCCCCCTCCTCCTGGGGGTCTCCCCCCAGGGACCCCTTCCAGGGACTCCCTCTTCCTTGCAGACAGCACCCACAGCGAGTGGGCTGACCCACAAGGGATTTCTTGAAGGGGTTGCCTGTCTAATGACCAGGTTGATGACCAGGTCCAAAGTGGGCGTCAACCAGAGGGTGTCCAGAGACACTGTCCCTTTTGGGGGCTCTGAGGGAGAGCCCACCCAGCCTTGTGTTCCCGCTGAGCTCTGCCACCTGCCAGAGGTTGTGGCCGAGGCAGTCCTGCCCTCCTCTCCTCCAGCTGTGTGTGTGTGTGTGTGTGTGTGTGTGTGTGTGTGTGTGTAAAGTAATCTCTACCCCAAACGTGGGGCTCAAACTCACCACCCTGAGATCAAGAGTCACACGCTTTACTGACGGAGCCCGCCAGGTTCCCCAGCTGGGTGTGTTTAAAACCCAAGGATGTTGTCAACTCTCCTTAAATACAATTAAAAAAAAAATACAGTCCAGGGATGTGTTGGAGACACACACATTTTTTTAATAGTCTAGAAAATACTATCAAAATGCCTGGCATTATTTTTGTTATTTGCTGTGATCGTCCCTCTCGCTCCTGTGCCCCTGTAAGCAGGTGTCCCCTCTGCATAGGGCATGACAAAGATATGTGTGAGTTTTACCAGCATCTCTGAGAGGATAGTTTTATTCCCCTTCTCTGGGTGAGGAAACCAAGACTCAGAGAAGTCAGAGCCCTGGTTCAGAACTGCACTCACCAGGGCCCTGAGACCCGGGCTTCCCTGGTGCCCACGGCTGTTTGCTCCTCTGTACTGTCCTGCCCCAACAAGTTGGCCAGGCCCTGTGGTCGTCTCACATACCCTCCTGCTCTTGGGTTCAGAGTTCCTCTCTGACCCTTGGTCTCTTTTTCCGTCAAACATAAGTCTTGGGGCAGAGGACTGCAGGCCCCTGACATTATCTCTCCTGGCTCTGGGTTGTGGAAAGGGCTGTAAGCAGAGAATGTAGGAGGGCGAAGGAGCCCTGTATCAGCTGCCATACCAGTGGCCACGACACGGGGGGCTTGGTCTTCCTGAGACAGACCCTCTCCTGCTGCTCTGTGTGAAATTAACTCCCTTTATCCTTTTGTTCCAGGTATACCTTTGGGAAACCTGTCTCGGGGACCTTGACGATCAATATGACTGTAAATGGCGTGGGGTACTACAGCCAGGAGGTGGGGCGCCCCGTCCTCAGAACCACAAAGGTAAGGAGCAGGGGCCCCAGGGCTGCTTAGCCAATGGATTCCTTCCTGCAGGGAAGGCTTCAGCTGCGTGATGGTTCATTTAATTTTACTTTCTTTTTTTTTTAAGTTTATTTATTTATTGAGAGAGAGAAGGCACCAGTGGGGAAGGGGCGGAGAGAGAGAGAGGACTAGAGAGTCCCAAGCAGGTTCTGCACCACCAGTACAGAGCCCGACGCGGGGCTCGAACCCACGAACTGAGATCATGACCTGAGCTGAAGTCAGACGCTTAACCGACTGAGCCACCCAGGCATCTCTTATTTTTTTTTTTTTAAGTTTACTTATTCATTTTTGAGAGAGAGAGAGAGAGAGAGAGAGAGAGAGAGGGAGTGTGGGAGGAGGGCAGAGAGAGAGAGGGAGAGAGAGAATCCCAAGCAGGCTCCGTGTTGTCAGCACGGAGCCTGATGTGGGGCTCGAAGCCACAAACCGTGAGATCATGACCTGAGCCGAAACCAAGAGTCAGACATTTAACTGAGCCACCCAGGCGCCCCCCCCCCCACCCCCCCGCAAAATAGTTTCATTGAGATACAATTCACATACCATACGATTCAAATATTCATGTAGAATGTAGGATTTGGGGGTTGGGGGCATATTCAGAGTGTGCAACAGTTGCCTCAGCCCAGTTTTAGGATAATCTCCACCATCGTCCCCAAATCCCTCATGCCCTTTTGTGATTAGTCTGTTTCCACCCCCAGCCCTGGGCAACCACAGATCTGCTTTCTGTCTGTATGGATTTGCTCATTTTGGACGTTCCGTACACATGGAATCACACACTATATGGTCTCGGCGTCTGGCTTCTTACCCCCCAGCACGATGTTTTCAAGGTGCATCTACAGTGTAGCGTGTGTCAGGGCTTCATTCCCTTCTGTGGCCGAGTAATATTCCATCATGCAGAGGGACCACATTTTGTTTATCCATTTGCCCAGCGATGGCCATCTGAATTCTTTTCCACTTTTTGGCTATTACCACTGCTGCTGCTCTGAACGCTCGCGTCCAGGTTTTTGTGGGGCTGGCCGTGTTCATTTCTCTTGGATGTGGCGTCCCTAGGTCGTGTGGTATGGAATTAAATAAAGAAGCCATCTGAGTAAGAACGTGCAGAGGCCGTTGATTCGGAACTTGCTGTAGCAAGGGAGTCAGCCGCCATCACCTCTGTTTGGCAGACTTGAAGCTTGGTCATGAGAAACAGGGAGGGTTTCGCGTGTGCCCCGGTTGGAGGCTGTGGGTGTTTGGGGGAAGCTGTCACCACCTAACTAGAAGGGGAGCATCCGGTGAGATTGGTTAGGGGTGCATGTGTGGCTTTCTCAATTCGTTCAAAGAAGTAGGGGCAGCCGGCTGGGTGGCTCAGCCGGTTAAGCGTCCCACTTTAGCTCAGGTCATGATCTCACGGTTCGTGGGTTCGAGCCCCGCGTCGGGCTCTGTGCTGACAGCTCAGAGCCTGGAGCTGCTTCCGATTCCGTGTCTCCCTCTCTCTCTGCCTCTCCCCTGCTCATGCTCTGTGTCTCTCAGAAAGAAATAAACATTTTTTAAAAAATTAAAAAAAAACAGGAAGTAGGGGCAAAAAAAATCAGAAAAGCTGCCCGTGATTAATCAAGTCCTGGCCGTGTGGGGCTGGTTGTTATGGGGGTTTGGCTTCTTCCTAGGGGTCAGACTTTCTACAAGGCTGGTGTATAGGCAATGGGTTGGCCATTTTTCTATGTGGTCTGGCCAACCTGTTACCCATTTGTAGATTCAGTGGTAGCTATGTTTAGCCATTTGAAACTCCCAGACTGTTTTCCACAGCGGCTGCATGATTTCACACTCCTGTGCGTGTAAAGTTTTATAACCTGGCTCAGTTGTGAGCGTGCCGCCCCGTACGTGCACACACATTCTGGGGATCCTCTGTCTCTGCAGGGGCCTCCGGCACTGAACCCTGTCCTCCCTGCAGGCTGTGGTGCCCTAGCCTTAATTGTCTGGTTTGCTGAGTAATGTACTCCAAAGCTGTTCCTGGATGGACTTATTCGCCCGGCTCCTGGCTGGGTCCTGGGGTAGGGGGTGAATGGGAGCGTTCTGTGCCCCAGGAGTGGGAGCGAGTGCTCCAAATTGGGGGGGACTTGGTTCAAATCCCTGTCCTGCTGTCTGTGGGAGGGTGAGCAACTTACTACAGAAGCCTTCTCCTCTTCTGCCTGGTGGGGCCGATGCCCCTCCTCCCTGGGTCATATGGCATATCCAACAAGGGATCCAGTGACCCCCCTGGCCCTCCAAGCGGCTGGAGAGTCTTGGACGTCACATGCGTTTTTGAGAGTCATTCACTGAAACCACTCTGACCCCGAGTGAGCACGTTCTGGGCGTTTCCTGCCTCCAGATCCACGGCTCCCAGGACTTCGACATCTGCGTGAAGGACATGATCCCAGCTGATGTCCCCGAGCACTTCCGGGGCACCGTCAGCATCTGGGCCACGGTGGTCAGTGTGGACGGGAGCCAGCAGGTGGCCTTTGATGATTCCACTCCTGTCCAGAGGCAGCTGGTGGACGTCCGCTACTCCAAGGACACCAGGAAGCAGTTCAAGCCTGGCCTGTCCTACGTGGGAAAGGTAAGCGCTGGGGATGGGGCCCAGCAGGGGCCGTCTGAGGGCGCAGGCTCCGCACCACCTCCCGCCCCAGCCCCCCCGCCCCCCGAGGACCACCGAGAATCCACGGCAGTGGGTCCCATCAGTGTCCCAGCAGTGACTCTGAGTCACTCAGTGTCCCAGCAGTGACTCTGCGGAGGACGGTGTCCTTTAATTACATTGCATAACCTTTGCTGTCTGGGGACCAGGGCCTCCTCTGCTGACTGTGGCAAGAGCTGGTACTGGGCCCAGGGTGAGGGGACTGGGCATTTTGCTCCACCTAAAAGGATGGTCTGCTTTAGTTGACGTAGATAGACATTCGTGTATCTACAGCGTTAAACCAAGGCGTTGTAAAGCCATTCATTCGGTTTCTCTCAGGCAATGCCTTTCCTATTTGGGTCGACTTATTTCTGGATGAGCTAATATCCAAGGGAATGCCCCAAAAGGCAGATCTCCTGTCCCTGAGACAGACTGATTCGATCTCCTGGGGGAAAGTGGCGTTTTGTGTGTATGTGTGTGTTTTCTTTAATGTTTACTTATTTTTAAGGGGGGTGAGGGGCAGAGAGAGAGGGAGACACAGAATCCGAAGCGGGCTCCAGGCTCTGAGCTGTCAGCACAGAATCCGATGTGGGGCTCAAGCTTATGAACCGGAAGATCATGACCTGAGCTGAAGTCGGATGCATAAGCAACTGAACCACCCAGGTGCCCCAAATGTGGCATTTTGAATAGGCCCCCACCTCCTGCCCACCCATCATGCCATTCTTATACACAGTCAAGTTTTAGGTGACCAGAAACCCGAGATCCTTATCCTAGTTGCTGAACTGGGCATTTGTGTCCCGGGGGGCCAAGGCCAGTGGAGCCCAGTGTCACCCCAGAGGAAGCTGGCTGCACCCCTGACCACAGCTCTGCCCACCGCCCACATCGCTGGCCCCTCTAACCTTCTGTGGGTCACTCACAGGATCCCGGTGTCCTCATGCTGTGGCCTGCTACTCCTGCTCTGCTCTGAGACCTCCCTTCTGTCTGTGCCGGATCCCAGCCCCTCAGGCGCAATCACAGAGACACAGCCTGTGCGCCCCTGGCTTTGAGGGTCCCAGCTGGAGGAGAAGCTAAAGCCCAACGTGCGGGTCAGAATGTGCATGGAGAAGAGGCTCGGGCTGTCAGATCAATGAAAGGGAGCATTTCAGGGACCACTGAGAAATTATCCACCATCTGCATTAAAGAGCAGAGCTGTAAATGGGGATCATGCCAGCCGAAGCCCCTGTCACTCTGTCACCAAATACCTGCACGGTCGAGGGGCTACTCTAGGGTCCTTCAGGGCCCACTGGCCATATTTCTTTCACACCATCCCTGTCTTCTGAACCCCTCGTTCCGACTGCCTCTTCTATGTCTGAATGAGGTCTGAGCATCACACGGAACTGTTGATAGCATCACCCGTTCTGTTCCTCCCCCAGCGTGGCACCAGGCCAGTGGCCAGCGGCCAGCATGTGGTGATTCGTACACGGTAATTTGTACCTGGAGACCAGTGGGACAGAATTGAGAATGCCGGGGCACTTGGGTGGCTCAGTCGGCTAAGTGTCCGACTCTTGATTTCAGCTCAGGTCATGGTCCCAGGGTCGTGGGATCGAGCCCCTCTTTGGATTCCACGCTGAGCATGGAGATTGCTTAAGATCCTCTGTCTCTTTCCCTCTGCGCCTCTCCCCTACTTGTGCATCTGTGCACTCTCTGTCTCTAAAATGCAATGGAATGGAATAGAATAGAACAGAACAGAATAGAATAGAATAGAATAGAATAGATCAGATCCGCACATTGGAGAGGTACGGAGTCCCTGTACGTTCCCCTAACCGATTGTCTAGGATACCCCACTTCCGGTTAGCCCCCACAGCTTCCCCACAGCTATAGCCTCCAACAGAGGCACACCTGAAGCCCTCCCTGCTTCTCTACAAGGCTTTCCCACTTCACCTGCACCTGAGTCTCTGCCAAACACAAGTGATGGTGGCTGTGACTCCCTGGCTGCAGCAAGCTGTGAATAAATAGCCTCTGCTCGTTCTTTTTCCACACCACGTGGCACCAGGCTAATGGCCAGCCCGTGGTAACTTGTACCTTGTGACTTCTTGGTCAAGTCCAAGGTCGTGAAGGTCCTCCTCTCCTGGCCTCCCCCGCCCAGCTCTCCATCTTCTAAGTGTTTCAAAGTTCCAGCTCTTAACTTCAGGTCTATGATCTTTTTTTTTTTTTTTTTTTTTTTTTTTTTTAGTTTAAGTTTATTTATGTTGAGGGGGACATTTAGTGTGAGTGGGGGAGGGGCAGAGAGCGAGAGAGAGGGAGAGAGAGAATCCCCAAGCCAACTCCATGCTGTCAGCGCAGAGCCTGACTCGGGGCTCAAATCCACAAAACCTCAAAATCATGACCTGAGCTGAAACCAAGAGTCGGATGCTTAACCGACTGAACCACCCATGTGCCCCTATGATCCATTTTTAACTTTTGCAGATGGTGTGAGGTAGGGGTTCGATTTCATTCTTTGGCATGTGGGTGTCCAGTCCTCCCAGCACTGTTTGTTGAGGAACCTGTTCTCTTCCAAGTGAATGGTCTCGGCACGCTTGTTGAAAACCAATTTGCCACGGATGTGTGGGTTTATTCCTGGACTCTCAATTCCGTACCATTGATCGCCATGTCTCTCCTAGGCCAGTCTTGATTACTGTAGCTTCACAGTTTTGAAACTAGGAGATATGAGTTCTTCTCGGTTCCTCTTTTTCCTGGTTGTTTTGGTTATTTGGTTATTTCCCTGTGAATTTTAGCAACAGCTTGTCGATTTCTGCAAAGAAGTTGGCTGGGATTCTGGTGGGGGATTGGGTCGAGTCTGTAGATCCGTCTGGAGAGTGGTACTGCCTTGACTGTGTTGAATCTTTGGTGATCCCCTTCCAGGTGGAGCTGTCCTACCCAGACGGCAGCCCGGCCGAGGGGGTGACGGTCCAGATCAGGGCAGAGCTGACCTCGAAGGACAACATCTACACCACTGAATCTGTGTCCCGGGGAGGGCTGGTGGGGTTTGAAATCCCCTTCATCCCCATGTCAGCCCAACACGTGTGGCTGGAGGTGGGTGAGTTGCCTGGACCTTTGTCATTCAGCCACAAGGCACAGCCTTGGTGCCTTCCCTGATTTATGCTTGGACACAAGCTCAGTGGAACTGTGGCCTACTGCTTCCCTGAGGGAGTTTATGGTCTTTGACGGGGAGTTTGACCAGGGGAGAGCCCAAGGCAAGACAGGAGGTCAAGGAGAGGCGAAGCTTCCTTGCTGTCATGCTGAAGGAGGCTTTCCCAAAGGGATCCCACCGTGTGGACTCCTGACCTTGGGGAGGGTCATCCAGACTGCTTCTGGGAGGGTGGAACAGCATGTGCAGAGGCCCAGAGGCCCTCGATCATAGTGTAACTGGGTCCTGCAGGGCCCAGCCAGGCTGAGCCATTCAGGAAGATGTGGAGGAGGGAGCTGGTGGGGTGCCCCCCACCTCACAGGGGTGCTTGGGGTTTACCCAGAAGGCAGCATCAGGGGGACAGAGTGGCCTGAGTTTTGAAACTCAGCAGTTGTTCCAGTGACATTACAGGGTACCTGGTCGGGGGGTGGGGTGCGGGCACAGGTGGGCAGACAGAAGGTGATGACAGAGAGGCCACCAAGCCTGGAGCTGTGAAGGTAGGACACGGGGTCCCATTATCAGGGAAGAGAGGAGCAGGAGTGACAGAAGAGGGCGTCCGGCTCTGTGACAGCCCCACGGACGCTGGATGGCGGGGAAGGGGCGGGGGCAGCTTAGAGTAAATGTGTAGGTGGGAGCCGAGGATGCTTGTGGTGACTGTCCTCTGTGGGGCAACATGTCCTTAAAGATTTTTAACCATGGGAAGTTGCAAGCTTGGGGCTCTCCGGGCCATCCAGCGGGCTGCAAATTCCTGGTTACAATGACAGCTTTTTCTTAATGATCGCAAGACATCCCTTTTATTTGCATTTAGTCCTCTAGCAGTTAAGTAGCAGCAAAGCCCTGAGATGACTACAAATACCAGAATTACCTGAAAAATTTTCTCTGTCATAGATACATGTCTAAAAATGAGCTTTTCCTGGGGCACCTGGGTGGCTCAGTCGGTTGAGCGCCTGACTTGAGCTCAGGTCTTGATCTCCTGGTTCAGGAGTTCAAGTGTGGAGCCTGCTTGGGCTTCTCTCTCTCTCTGCCCCTATCCTGCTTGCTTTCTCTGTCTGTCTGTCTCTCTCAAAATAAGTAAACTTAAATTTTTTTTTTAAAAATTAGCTTTTCCCCAAAATGTCACTTTAATAGATATTTTATTTCTGTTACCAAATAGTGTTTAGGAAAAGGTCTTTAATTATTCTTTTAAAAACAAAACTTGGGACGCCTGGGTGGCTCAGTCGGTTAAGGGACTGACTTCAGCTCAGGTCATGATCTCTCAGTGTGTGAGTTCGAGCCCCGTGTCGGACTCTCTGCTGACAGCTCAGAGCCTGGAGCCTCCTTTGGATTCTGTGCCTCCCTCTCTCTCTGCCCTTTCTCTGCCTGTCTGTCTGTCTCTCTTTCTCAGAAATAAACATTAAAAAAATAATAAAAATTTAAAAAGGGAAGCTAATTGTAAGTATCAATTATTTTTAACTTTTAAAAATGTTTATTCATTTTTGAGAGAGAGAGTACCTTTGTGCGTGCGAGTCGGGGAGGGGCAGAGAGAGAGGAGACAGAATCCCAAGCCCGATGCAGGGCTCGAACTCAGGAACTATGAGATCGTGACCTGAGCCGAAACCAGAGTCAGGCACTTAACTAAGCCACCTAGGCGCCCCAAGTGAATTATTTTTTAAATGAGGGACAGTTGACTTGTAACTCTGTGAGTTTCAGGTGTATACCATAAGTCCATATTTGCACATGTGAAACAGACACCACCATACGTGTAATTCATAGCCAGCATCACACATAGTTCTACGTTTTTTTTTATGACGAGAAATTTTGAGATCTGCTCTTAGCAACTTTCAAGTATACACTGCGGTGTTGTTAACTACGGTCACAACGCCGGGTATTCCATCCCCAGGACTTAGTTTATAACTGGAAGTGCGTGTCTCTTGCAATCACAGTTTTTTTTATAGCAGCGTGGCAAATCAGCACCAGCCGAAAAGAGAGAGGCGTGGGGCCAGAGCTGGGAGGGTCCCACACTTGAAGCTTCCTGAGCTGTCCCTCTGGGGTCCCTGGGACACACCATCCTCCCGGCTCATGATGTGTGACCGTGCCCCCAGAGAACGGCCGGCCGGGGGCGCTCTCTCAAGCTTCGGTGTCCACGGTGTCCACCGGGGTTCGTAAAGTAGCTGTGGATCACGGGCCCTGTGACAGACTCCGGTTCCAGTCGCCTCCCTCCCTGGAGGTTAGGCTGGTATCACAAGTCTCAAAACCCCAACCCTTTGCCCCTGTCCTGATTCGGCTCGGTGGCATGTACCCTCAGGATGCACCGTAAATAACAAAGACACTCTCATCACTTGGAAAATTCCAGGCTTTGGAGGCTACCTCCCAGAAACCGGGGACAAAAATGGGCTAACTTTTTTTTTTTTTTTTTTAACATTTACTCATTTTTGAGAGAGAGAGAGAGCTGGGGAGGAGCAGAAAAAGGGAGAGAGATACACACACACACAGAATCCGAAGCAGGCTCCGGGCTCTGAGCTGTCAGCACAAAGCCTGATGTGCGGCTCAAACCCACAAACCGTGAGATCATGACCTGAGCCAGTGGACGCTTAACCAGTTGAGCCACCCAGGTGTACCCCCTCCTTTTTTTTTAAAGTTTATTTCTTTTGAGAGAGACAGAGGCAGTGCAAGTGGGAGGGACAGAGTGAGACAGAGAATCCCAAGCGCGCTCCACACGGTCAGCACGGAGCCCGACGCAGGGTTCGAACTCACCAAACTGCGATCATGACCTGAGCCGAAACCAAGAGTCGGACGTTTAACTGAGCCACCCAGGCGCCCCATGGCCAATTTCTTTATTCTTGATCTCACAGAGGTCTTAGACCTGCTCCTCTGGCCTCTCCCTTGTGTTGGGGCAAGTGAAGGGAAAAAGCTCAAAGCCCAAAGGAGCAAAGCCGTATAACCACCCAGGGCTTGGTGCACGCAGGGCGGCAGGGCTCGAGCTTAGGGAGGAGCAGGCTCCAGAGCCACGGGGGTGCTGTCCCACACAGCCTCTCCATCTCCTGACCGTCCTCTGAGGCCTGTGATCCCCTCCAAGAAGCCACCAGGGTCACTAGCGAGCCAGAGAAAGAGAGAGAGAGAGAGAGAGACAGGGGCACGGGGAGGGTTTCCTAGTATGTCCATGATAGAGCTCTCTTGGCAGCCACATGAGTCACCTGCCCCTGTCTTGAGCCACCCCCTAACACCCTGTGACCAGCCTCGGACACTTGCTTCCTGGAGCTGAGGAACAGGGAGAGGGGGGCAAAAGCACATTGGACCCCATTCTCTGAGAACCGGGGAGAGGGTTCCCCGAAGGGGAATTGGGACATGAGAGGGTCTTGCCACAGGCCAGGGCAGGCAGAAGCATCCCCAAGGACCCCCTTCCTAGGCCAAGCACCCAGGCCTTGACCAAGTACCCTCTTTTCCTCAGACCAAGGTGACGGCACTCAACGGAAAGCCCGTGGGGGCCCAGTACCTGCCCAGCTACCTCTCTCTCAGCAGCTGGTACTCCCCCAGCCAGTGCCACCTGCAGCTGCAGCCCCCCGCCCGCCCCCTGCAGGTAAGGTGCTCAGGCGTGCCCTCCACACACCTCCAGGGGATGTGTGCATGCCCCAGCAGGGCCGACACTGATGCCCTGGCCCCCGGCCCTCCAGCAAGGCCGTATTCCTCGGAATGAATGCCCATAGTTTAATTATGGTGAATATTCAGGCTGTGGCCCCGGGGTTTACCACGATAAACGTGGCCATCAGGGCTCCTGTCTGCGGGCTTGTACTTCTTGTGCATGGGCTCTGAGGTTTCCCCACGGACCTAGAGCTGGGTCTCATGTTCCTTCTTCCCTGTTATTCAGCAATCCCGATTAAGTAAGATTCGCGGAGATGTGTGTGGAGACACGGATCTGTAAAAATTGGGCAGAAGGAGGAGAGTTCCTCTGTGCCCCCTCACCCCTGCAGGCAGTGTCCTCAATTATTAGCAGCCTGCATTCAGGTAGCACATCTCGTACAGTTGATGAGCCAGGTTGGATGTGTTGTTATTAACTAAGGTCTGCAGTGTATGTTAGGTCCTCTCTTCGTGTTGCAGATTCTGTGGGTTTGGACCAATGTATGGTGATGTGTGCCCAGGGTTGTAGTATCTTTTTTATTCTTATTTTATTTATTTTAATGTTTACTCGTTTTTGAGAGACAGTGAGGGACCGAGCGTGAGTGGGGGAGGGGCAGAAAGGGAGACCCAGGATGTAAGGCAGGTTCCAGACTCTGAGCTGAATGCTCAGAACCTGATGCAGGGCTCGAACCCATGAGCCGCGAGATCATGACCTGAGCCAAAGTCGGACACTTAACCGACTGAGCCACCTGGGCACCCCAATTTTTTTAAGTGTATTTATCTTTGGGGGGGCATGATCGGGGGAGAGGCAGAGAGAGATGGGGCAGAGGATCCCAAGCTGAGAGCAGAGAGCCTGATGCGGGGCTTGAACTCGAACCATGAGATCATGGCCTGAGCCAAAGTCAGATGCTTAACGGACTAAGCCACCCAGGCACCTCTGATGTTATAGTATCATACAGAATGGTTTCGCTGCCCTAAAAATCCTCTGGGCTCCATCTACCTATTCGTTTATCCCTCCTTCCCTGCTACCCCCTGGCAACCACTGATCTTTTCACCGTCTTTGTACTTTTGCCTTTTCTAGAATGTCATGTTGTGTTGGGAGAAGTGAAAACCTCCGGGGTTGTTTTGATTGGAGGCACAGTTTCAATACACACACACACACACACACACACACAAGAAGTCAAGCCGTGAGATTTATTTACAGATCCCAGAGTGGGGTGCGCGGGTGCAAAATGAAGGGTGGGGGGAAGGGCAGTCCTCCGTCCCAGGTCACAAGCGAGCAGGAGGCAGGCAGCCGGGCAGCAAGCACCCTTTACTTGTAAGGTGGTTGGAGACGAGGTCATAGCTTTAGGGGTGGGGGTCAGTGCTATATGGTTATTTCAAAAGGCCCCCTGGGGAAAAGTGAAGCAGAAACTTGCGGCCAGAATCCTAAGCTCAGGTCCTTATCTAAATGTCCAGACTCCGGGTGTGAGGGGCTTTGTCAGGCCATCAGATGCCCCAGCAGCAGCTCAGAATAGCTGTTTTCCCATCACATGTATATGTTAGTCCCCCCTCCCTTATCCATGGAGATACATCCCTACATCCCCAGTGGATGTCTAACACTCCGGATAGTACCAGACCCTACGTGTGTTGTTTTTTCCTATACTACATGCCTATGACAAAGATTGACTTATAAATTAGGCGCAGTAAAATTAACAACAATAATGATAAAATAGAACCACGGTAACAATATTCTGTAGTGAGAGTCACGGGGATGTGGTTCCTTCTCTCTCGAAATATACTGTACTGTACCCAGCCTGCTTTCTTGTGATCACGAGATAGTAAAATGTCTACGTGAGGAGATGAAGAAAGGTTGATGTGGTTCGGAGTGTTGGGGATCGGAGCCGACGGCCAAGAAAGAATTCTTTGAGACGTCTTTGGTGCAAAAAGGTGGTTTTCCTAAAGCACGGGGACAGGACCCGTGGGCAGAAAGAGCTGCACTGGAGTTGTGAGGAGTGATTGATGGTGTAAGATTTTCTATCCTCTTGGCGGGGGGGTAGGGTGGTGTCAGGGTCCCAGGAAATGGAATCTACAGGTTCCTGGAAGTTTGGCGATTGATAGAATTGCTTTTTCCCCTTGTAAATTATTAAGACAGTTGTAACCTGATAGAGACTCAGGGCCCGCATGACTGTGATCTCTATCAGTTCACCACGGGTTTTTCCCTTTCCTTTGTTCTTGGGCAGCCAGGAGTGCCTGAGGAATATCACCTATGTGTGTGTGTGTGGGGGGGGGGAGGTTATTAGTTTGTGACTTGCCCTCAGTCTGCCTTTGTTTCCCACATCAAGGTGAGTGATGCAGGCGTTGTGCAAAGCATTAGGCTGCGCCTGACCTTCTGATGATACATAGGAGATCACACTGCTCTTGGGTGGTTCTGGGTGGCTCAGTCGGTTAAGCATCCGACTTCGGCTCAGGTCATGATCTCATTCGTGGGTTGCCGAAGTCCTCAAGATGAAGCTTGATGCTAGTCTCAGAGCCTGAAGCAGCTGCTTCGATTGCTGTTCTTCCTCTCTTTCTGCTCCTAGCTTACATCTGCCTCCATAGTCTCTCTCAAAATAAATAATAAACTTAAATAAAAAAGGAAAGGATCACCCATTTCCAGGAACACTCTTGATGGTGGTCAACAGGGAGTCTCACCAGGGAGACTGTAGAAGCTGAATCGCATGAACGTGTGGCCTCTTTTTATGTTTATTTCGTCTTTGGGAAGGAGAGACAGAGGCGAGCAGGGGCGCGTGGAGGGGGTGAGCAAGAGAGAGAGGGAGCACACAGCATCGAAGCTAGGCGCCAGGTCTCTGAGCTGTCAGCACAGAGAGATGTAGGGCTCGAAGCCACGAGCTCGGAAATCAGGACCTGAGCCAAAGTCAGATGCCCCATCCATGAAGTCCATCCAGGCACCGCATACAGCCAGGCCTTTTTAGCTTCCTTTTCTACTTGACATGTCCTCAGAATGTGAGTGAGCTGTAGCCATGTTTATCCCTCATCTATTAAATAAGATACACTTTTATTGTATTATTCCATGGTAAGCACCCCTGTTAACTCAAGTACCAAGAGAGGCCTCGGGCTAAGAGCCTGGTGCTGCAGAGTGAGCTGCTCCCGTGGCATTCCTTGTACCCTATGGCCGGACACGTAGAACCGCTGTCAGCGCCCCAAGGCTGCCTAGGGAGGTAGGGGTGGTGCCTGGGATACAGTTAGAGGGAATCCTGGTGCCGGGAGCTGCCCATTTGGGGCTTAGGCTCCACTGTGGGAGTTTTTTCTTGAGAATAAGAGACTCAGATGAGATCTGCCTGTTCCCATACGGTAGGGCGGACCTGGCTGGCCACTCAGATCCTTCCTTGGAGGACATCTCCATCCTGCCAGAGTTGGGTCAGCTGGCTCCAGCCCCTCCCCCCCCCCCCCCTGCCACCGCGCATCATCAGCTGGGCCCTGGGCTAACTCAGGCGCGAGGCAGGAGGGCTTCTTTGCGGTTCAGTCGTCTAGGCCTCTGTCAGGGCCTTTCCTCCTCCAGCTTGAAGGCTCATGTAGCAGGGCATGGGGAGGGGAGGTTGCTCATAATGGGTTTGACAACTCCTATCCTTTAGAGTTGCCGTGTTAGGTGCACCGAGAAGAGGAAGGCTATATGCTTTTCTGTTCTCCCCCATTAACATCTGGAAACAGAAGGGGACTTTTGTTTCAGTGCCTTTTTATAAGGTGACTATTTACAAACTTAGGAAATCAGATAAAAAAAGTATAATCCTGTGCCTTTCAATCGCGAGTTATGACTCTATTTTGCTTTTCGGTCCATCTGTCCCCTTCTTACCGCGCCACTTCAATGTCCACCTACGGCAGCTCCTCTGTATCCATCCATCCATTCACCTATCCAACGCGGACCTGTCCAAGGCACCTGTCCACCCATCTATCCATCTATTTTTTTTTTAATTAAAACAATTTTTTTAATGTTTATTTTGGAAAGAGAGAGACAGAGCAACAGGGGAGGGGCAGAGAGAAAGGGAGACACAGAATATGAAGCGGGTTCCAGGTTCTGAGCTGTCACCGAATGCTGGCAGAGAGGCTTGAACTCACAAACTGTGAGATCATGACCTGAGCCGAGGTCGGATGCTTAACTGACTGAGCCACCCAGGCACCCCATCAACTCATCTATTTCTTTAGCCCTTTTGTTTTGGCTACAACATTTGAAAATGTGTTACAGACATCCTGATGCTTCACTCTTAAAATACTTGAGCATAATACGTCCTAAAAATCAGGACATTCTTCAACATGACCTCAAAGCTATTGTCACGTCTAAGAAAATTACATTAACTCAACATATTTTTTTTGGTTCATGGGCAGTGTTCAGATTTTCAAAGATGTCCCCAGGATGTGACTTCTATCTTGTGCGTGAACGCCCACAGTCTTGTGCACACGTGTGCAAGTAATGTGCGGCTATGTGCATGCACGTGTATATGTGAGCGCGCGTGCACGCGTGGGCACGTGCGCATTTCATTCGGGATCCATGGCCACCCATGTTGCGTTTGGCTCTTCTGTGTCCGTATCTGCTCTTGATCTGGAACAGCCCCTACTTCTGCCTTTTCATCCCTGTGACTTTTGTGAAGAATTCGGGCCTGTGTGGTCTTGGAGATGCTCCCACATCCTGAATTAGAATCAGGCAGAATTACTGTGTGTGTGCTGTCCTCGTAGCAGCCTGTCAAGAGGTGCAGATTTAGGAGACCCCACTGTTGCTGGAGCTGACCTTATCCTTGGTTGGTGTGTGATTTCTACCAGCTCTCTCCCCGGTGGGTGAGGCTACTGAGTAACCTGTGGTGCCAACCTGAGGCCCCTCCCTGCCACAGCGTCCTGACCCCCACCAACCTTTCACCCGGTGCTTTTAGCTTCACTGACAATTCTTGCTATCGTCAGTTATCACAGTAGGGGCTATGTGATGGCAGGTCTGAGTCCTGTCATTCCTTCTACGTTTATGAGTTGGTGTTCCTCTGTAAAAGGAAAGAACTTTCAAAAAAAAAAAAAAAGAAAAAGAAGAAAGAACTTTCTGTCTCTTTTCCCTACCATTATTTTTGTTGCTGTATTGTTTTGAGTATGTTATGGACTTGAGGACTTTAAAAGAATCTTCCAATATGTTGTAATCTGTTATCATACTACTTATTTTATTTTAAGTTTATTTCTTTACTTACTTTGAGAGAGAGAGAGAGCGTGAAGGAGCAGGGGAAGGGCAGAGAGAGAGGGTGACACAGAATCCAGAGGAGGCTCCAGGTTCTGGGCTGTCAGTACAGAGCCTGGTGCGGGGTTCCAACTCACAAACTTCGAGATCACGACCTGAGCTAAAGTTGGACCATTAACCGACTGAGCCACCCAAGTGCCCCTCATACTTTTTATTTTATTTTAAAGTTTCTTTATTTTGAGAGGGAGAGAGAGAGGGAGTGCAAGTGGGAAGGGGCAGAGAGAGAGGGAGAGAGAGAGGATCCCAAGCAGGCTCCGTGCTGTCAGCGCAGGGCCCAACACAGGGCTTGAATGCACGAACCCTGAGATCATAACCCACACTGAAGGTGCGTCGAGCGCTTAACTGACTGAGCCACCCCGGTGCTCCTAATTTCAAATTTTGGAATAATTTTAGATTTACAGAAGAGTTGCTCCGACGGTGCAGAGAGATCCTGTATATCCTTCATCCGGCTTCCCCTGCTGTTTTTAAGTTTTAGAAAGTCGTCTGTACATTGCTGAGTTTTGAGAGTTCTTTATACGTCCCGGACACTAGACCCTTACCAGACGTATGACCAGGAATGCTGAGTGTCTGGGGTTTTTACCGGGGGTCAGTCACCCAGACCTGGCCGACCACTTGCATAGCTGACCTCAGTCCCAGCCCCTCCAGAGGTCAAAGTGACAGAGTGTGACCTGTACCCCTCCCCCGGCCCCCCATGGATCATATTGTCAGTATCTGGTGTGGCCTGAGACCTCAGGTAAACAGAGACAGGCAGGCAGGACAGTTCAAAGGCTTGGAGATCGCCTCTCAGGAGCTGGGGGGCAAAGGCCACACCTCTCATGGGCCATGTTCCTGCACCGTCAGCTCGTCGAGAGTCTCCACGCCGTTAGCACAGTTGCTCCGCCGCCCAGGGCACACGGCCGGCGCCAGGATGCCCGGCTCTCTGCTGGGAGGCCAGCACTCCTGCCGCAGCCATCCCAGCCTCCTTGTGGCCCCAGAGCAGCCATCTGCCTGGCGTGGGTGCCGGGCCGTGGGTGCCAGGCAGGGCCCCCTGTGCTGCGTGTCTCCCACAGGTCGGAGAGGAAGCGCTTTTCCCGGTGAAGTCCACGTGCCCATGCAGCTTCACCCTGTACTACGAGGTGGCCGCGCGGGGCAACATCGTGCTCTCGGGCCGGCAGCCCGCCCACCTCACCCAGCGGAGAAGCCGGCGGGCGGCCCCGGAGAAACCGATTCGCTTAATGCACCTTCTTGAGACGGGTGAGCCAGGCCATTAGGCTGGGGTTCCCTGTTGCCACTGACACTGGGGTGGGACAGACAGGAAGGGGGAGCAGGACGCAGCCTGGAGAGGTGCCTGCTTCAGGGCGGAGGGCGTGTGTCCCAGGCGAGATGGGGCTCGGGCCAGGAGGATGGGCAGGGGTCAGCCGCAGGGGGGTGGAGACGTCCTCTCAAGGGTGTCCTCACCGCCTGTCTGCAGGGGACTGGGGGAGGCGAGCCACAGGCTAGACCCCTGTGCCGGCCCGCACTGGACTGTGTTGCCATCTGCCGGTGGCCGCTCCGACTCTGCCCAGGTCACCTCCCCCCCCCCGCCCCCCACCGCACCTAGGAGCCCTCCTCCTCTCCTTGACTCTACGTGCTCACTAAAATATCCGTCACCTCCCCTGGGTCTTCCCCAGCCCCATCCCCTTCACAGCCCTTCTGCCTGAAGCAGGATCCCCAGACCGGGCCTTGGGGGCACTTGAAGACAGACGATTTGTGGTGGGGCCGTCCTGTGTGCAGTGGGGTATGGAGCCGTATCCCCGGCCTCCACCCATTCGGTGCCAGTAGCAACCTATCCACAGGCAGTACGATGCCTAAGAAGTCTCCAGGCATTGGCAGTGTCCCTGAGGGGAAGTCATCTGTAGGTGAGAATCAGATAGATAGATAGGAAGATAGATAGATAGATAGATAGATAGATAGATAGATGGATTTATGGATACATAGATCCACAGATAGATCCCTAAATACTTAGATTTACACTCAGATTCATAGATTAATTCATAGTTCATAGACAGAGATACAGGTGCATAGATAGATACACAGGAAGACAAGGTCTCTCTCATGAGAAGGCAGAGTTTCTCACCCTCGGCACTACTGATGTTTGGGGCCAGATCATTCTCCCATTGGTGGCGCTGTCCTGTGCACTGCAGGGGGCTGAGCAGCATCCCCGGCGCCCCACCCCGCTAAAGCCCCACCCTGCTAGATGCCCGCGGCACTCCCAAGTCGGGACAGCCAAAACTGCCCCCTGGGGGGCAGCACGGTCCTAGTTGAGAACTGCTGGCCTGAATGGTGCTCTGGGAATCACACACCCACATCCTTTTGGGCCTTCCCTTCCCTTCTAGGTGGTGCAAGTGTCCACGGAGCGCTTGCCCTGGGCCAGCACCTCCACGCTGCACCCCAGGTCATCCCCAGGGCAACCTGGGGCATTGGTGGCCCCGTCGTGGGGTGCTGGGTCCTCACGCCTCTCCCCACCTTTGCCTTGTCTTAGAGCCCCCTCCAGCCCCAGCAGCTGAGGCCAACGTGTGTGTGACTTCCCTCCGGCTGGCCGTGACCCCCAGCATGGCCCCCCTTGGCCGCCTGCTGGTCTTCTACGTCAGGGAGAATGGAGAAGGCGTCGCCGACAGCCTCCAGTTTGCTGTGGAGAGCTTCTTTGAGAACCAGGTAGAACGTGGGGGGCCAATCAGGGGAGTGGGGACAGGCAAGCGCCACTGAGGGCTGGGGGCTCCAGGGTGTCCGCGCCGGGCCGTGCACAGCTGCCACTCAGGCTCCCAAATGGTATCCCGGGCAGGACCCTTCAGGAATAATTGCAGCCAAGGTTGCATCTTTACTGGAGCGCCTCCAGAAGTCACCACCGATCGCACGCAGGGAAAGCAGTCAGCTGTCCCCACTGCGTTCCAGATCTAAGGGACACCACTCATGTCCCCCACAGTGGGCTCAGCCTTCTGCCCCCTCTCCCTGCATCCTTTGAAGCTGGCTGCCGCGTGCCCTTGGCCCGTGCCTGTCTCCCCATCTCTCCCCTCCCCTCCTCTGCGCAGAATGTTCCAGCTGTACCAGCCTTGTTCCTTTCATTCTGCCTCCCGCCCTTGTCCTCACCTGGGCAGCAAGGCCAGGGTCCCAAGTGAGCTGGCCAAGACCGGTTCTCCTTGGCAGGAGGAGAGGGTGGGTGGGTGAGTCAGGAGAGTCTGGCCGAGCTCCTGGTCTCTCTGCTGTGTTCGGATCCAGGTTTCAGTGACGTACTCAGCAAATGAGACCCAGCCTGGGGAGGTTGTTGACCTGCGGGTCAGGGCTGCAAGGGGCAGCTGTGTGTGTGTCACTGCGGTGGATAAGAGCGTCTACCTGCTCAGGTCTGGGTTTCAGCTGACTCCGGCCCAGGTGAGTGGGGCCCTCTGGTGCCAGGCTCCAGCACCCCCACGAGGGTCTCTCCCTTTCCAGTCAGTGAAGAGCCCCCATGTGAACCAGATTCTTTCTCTCACCATCGAACCCAATCTTTATTGCCGTATTGAAAGATCGTAGAGTCGAATTCATCAGACTCTTGCAATAGAACGTTGTCCACAGGTCCTACCTTTCCAGCCCCAGTCTGCCCATCTTTAGAATGGGCTAAAGCCACCAACGCCCATCTCCTGAGATTGTCTCGAAGTGGTATTCACGGAAGGAGCAGCCAGATCCCCGAGAGCCAGTTTGGGTGGAAAGGAAACCTCCGGCTGACTGCTCTCTGTTCTCTGCCTGTAGGTTTTCCGGGAATTGGAAGAGTATGATGTTTCTGATGCCTTCGGGGTGTCCCGGGAGGATGGGTCCTTCTGGTGGGCTGGACTGGCAGCCCGACGCAGGCGTTCGTCCATCTTCCCGTGGCCCTGGGGCGTCACCAAGGACTCCGGATCTGCCTTCGCCGTAAGCACAGATGGTCTTAGACCCACCGCCCCTTCCAGGCTCCTCTCGCTTTGAAACAAATGAACTCCGAGATACGGAGATGGTCAGGGTGGAGGTTTCCAAACTTTTATTGGGGCAGAACTAGTTTGATTCTCCCCAATGGAGGCTCATAAGCGGACCCTCCTGATTTGCAAGGCCAACCAGAGCGGAATGCTATGGGTGTCAGCCAATAACTGGGACTTGCTATGGAGCAGAGATGGTAAGGGTGCTTTGCTGGGAGGAAAACCATCACGCTGGGAGCAGGCGGCCGTGCTCTCAAGGGGCTCACGTCGTCCCCCTCCTTCCGGGCTGCGGACGCCGGGGGCTACCGGGGGTGCAGGAGACACAAGTAGCATTCTAGATCATACCACCAGCCCCCATGAGCATGCTGGCGGTCTCCACTCGAGTGCACGGCCCATCTGTGGCTGCTCTTCCCCCCTCCTCCCATTATAAAAATCATTAAAAACGCATCCTTTTCCTCTTGTTTTTTTTTTTTTATGGGAAATTTTCAGACTTACAGAAAAGTAGAACAAAGAAACAAATGCCTATATACTCACCGCCTGTAGATCCCACAATTAACACGTTGCTCTATTAGCTAAACAATAGTACACGCCTACATGTGTCTATATATTTGTATGCACATCTATGTCTGTACTGGAACAAACGATGTTTCAATTACCCATTTGTTGAACGCCTGGCAGTTTGAACTGCTGGGCCCTGGCCGCTCTTGGAATTAAGGGGCCGGGGTGTGGGGGGGTGCTTCTGAGTCTGAGTCACTGACTTTATACTCCTTATTCCCAAAGCAGAGCTGGTCAGTCTGGGGTGGGGCTTTCCTGCAGTCTAGTTGCTCCCGGTATTTAGCGCAGTGGTCGAGATAATAACAGTAACAATTGCAGATCTCCGTCTGTCTCTGATGTAGATCAGGCACGGTGCCCACTGATTTTTTTTTTTTTTAATTGTGAAATTCACGATGAACAGAACGAACAGAAAATGCTCCTGAGGTGCATTCTAAAATGCACAATTCAGCGGCATTTAGAGCACTCACGGTGTTGTGCCACCAGCACCTGTGTCTTAATTCTAGAATGCTTTCATCCCTTCAAAAGGAAACCGCATCCCCATGAGTAGTGGCTCTCTGTGCCCCCTCCCCCAACCCCTGGCAACTGCTAATCTACTTTCTGTCCCTATGGATTTACCTGTTCTGGATGTTCCATATCCGTGGAGTCATACATGGGGCTTTTTGTACCTGAGCCACAGATATGCTGGCCTCCCCTCTGCTCTATTTTACATGGTCCCTGGGCCCCATGATCTCCTCAGCCTGTGTCACCCAGAGCAGAGCACCCAAGCTCTGCACCCAAGCCCAGAGCAGAGGATGTTGGGCTGGTAACCCCACAGTGATGGAACTGCTGGGGCCATCCCATCCACGGCACTGTCTGTTGCCTAGGAAACAGGACTGGTGGTGATGACCGACCTGGTGAGCCTGAACCACCGACAAGATGGCGGCCTATACACCGATGAAGCTGTCCCTGCCTTCCAGCCCCACACGGGGAGCCTGGTGGCAGCAGGGTCCTCCAGACAACCCCCCAGGTAATTGCCACGTCGAGTAGGGTTGTCTCACCTCATACTGTGGTCTTTAGGGGCTGGATCATTCTCTGTGGTGGGGCTGTGCATGCACAGCTGGGTGTTGAGCAACATCTCTGGCCTCCACCCACCTGTTGCCAATAGCACCCCTTTCTCCCAGTTGTTACAACCAAAAATGTCCCAGTGTCCCCTGGTGGACAAAGTCACTACTGACCTAGTAGTGACCCCAGGAACCAAGCATGCCAGCCCCCCTCCCCAGTTCCTGACCACACCCGAGTGCACGGGATTGGGGGTGCAGAGAAAGGAAGGCACCTCAGGAGCAGAACTGCCTGGAACAGAAGGGTTGGGGTGGGGAGGGAAGCTGGGGCTTGATCCTCCCTCTCCCAGGGACTTTGCTTAGAAACTTCTTTCTAGTATCTCTCTCTTCTTTGTTCTTTTCCTCTCTCCTCCCCTTTCACCTTCAATTCTCTGCCTTTGCAAGTTGGACAAAGTAATACTTTAAATCTGCACATTTAAGCCTTTTGAAAGGCATGAGTTTCCCTAAGAGTGCTGCTTTGGCAGCACCTGAGTTGTGTTGTGAAGTGTTTCCATTATTGCTTCTTTCCAAATAGGTTCTAACTTTTTGAGCTGTGACTTGTGCAGAAGTGGACACTTTTTAAAATTTCAAGTGATATTTTTTAATTAGTATTTTTTAATGTTTTTCATAAATTTGTAGCAAACATGCATTGTGGCCAGTGAACATGGTCTTTGTGTTATCTGTTGTCCTGTTCTTACTTTGAAGACTTTTTATGTGGCCAATTTTTGTAAATGTGCATGTCTTCTTAAAAAGAAGATCTAAGCCCCCATCAATTCTGTACAGGGCTCTCTATGGATACTTTAGGTCAAGCCTATCGATGGTGATGCCTACATTCTCCATACTCTTGCTCACTTCTTGTTTGTCTGTTTGCTAACTTATCAATGACTGAGACAAAGAAGAGTTCCCATTTCTCCCCTGGATTTGTGGTTTTGTCCCTGGAGTCATGGAAACTGTAGTTTCACAGGAGGTGTTGTTTTCTCCGAGTGTCTCCTATCCTTTCCTGTCTCCCCTCTCTTCTCCCCCAACCCCTTCGTCTGATGCCTCTCTTACTACCTCCTCAAGCCCAGGTCTCAACCAGCCAGCTGGGGAAGGGGAAGTGTTCTGGAGACCTTGGCTCCCATTCTGTCTGGATTTAGGGGCTGGGACTAGGGAGGCAGGCCTTAGCTCTACTCTCTCCCACCCACTCCAAGAAGGGCACAGAACCAAAAGGCTGGGGCTGGCATCAGTGTGGTTGGTAGTGGCTCAGCATCTTGTCTCTCTGGAGACCCTGAGGGTGGGCCCCACACGCCTCAGCCCTTGTTCTAAGCCAGAAGTGGCCGAGAAGACCTCCAGCCCTAGCAAGCCTGTCCCCAAAAGCCCTCTCCATCTTTCACACATTCTCTACCTAGACTGAGGTCCTGGATACCTTGTTCTCCTGGGCTCTTTCTGCCTGGGCCGCACACTTAGCAGGAGTGTGGCAGGCCCAGGAGGGTCCTAGTTTCCAAACTCCAAATCACAGCATGGGCAAACCAGGCTCCCCATATGGTACACGGCAGTATTCTAGGATGTGGTTGCTGAGGGAGGTGTAACACTGGCCTCTGGGCCTCCACCCACCAGATAGTGCCTTGGGGGTCCTGACACTCTCATGTAGCAGGACCCCCAAGAGCTTGGCCTGGAGTGGATATGAAAGTAATTTTCTGAAACCCCAAACCACGAAAGCAGTTGTAAATCCCGCTGCACAAAGGCATAACAAATGCCTTCAAAAGCAAGTATTCATATCGTTTTGTAATTGGATAACCCATCTGTACATCTGTATTCTGAAGACAAGATATTTTTCTTAACCATATGCAGTGATTTAAATTTTTTTCAAGCAGTGTGAAAGTTTATATAATTTAATGAATTTAATGTAAGTTTCTCTCCTACCTCTAGACCCTCCATTCCCCTTTTTGGTCAATAATTTCTTAGAGATCCTTCTAGAAATTTTCCATGCATATACAAGGATTTTTTTTTTAAACAATGAGTGAATATTATAGTACTGTGCTGTGCCTTCTTTTTTTTTTTTTAATGTTTATTCATTTTTGAGAGAGAGGGAGAGATAGAACGTGAGTGGGGAGGGGCAGAGAGAGGGGGAGACAGAATCCCAAGCAGGCTCCAGGCTCCGAGCCATCAGCACAGAGCCCGACGTGGGGTTCGAACCCACAAACCATGAGATCATGACCTGAGCCGAAGTTGGGCACTTAAGCGACTGAGCCACCCAGGTGGCCCTGTGCCTTCTTTTTTGAAGTCAACAATAAGCCTTAGAGAACAATCCGTATCAGTATATCTGCACTGACCTCACTCTTTTAGACTGACGTGTAACATCCCACTGCACGATTGTACTACCATTTGATTAACCCAGTCACCCTCTTGATGGAGATTTTGGCTGTTTGCTCCGACAAACCAGTCCATTCGTCTGTCTTGGCACACGTCTCCATGGGTATTTCCCTGTGACGCGTGGTCCCTGTGACCCTTCTTCCCTTCTAAACTCAGGATGTGAAGTGCCTGTTGATTTAAGGTGATTCTATCAAGCCTTTGATGCTTCACTTCTACTAGTCCTAATCGAGTAGAATGTTAACCCTGCCAGGTAAAAGAGTTAGCACGTTCCGTCCTAATCAAGTAGAATGTTAATGGACAGCCAAGAGAATTAATACACTGCACCCTAACTGGGTAGAAGGTTAACCTTTCCAGGTACGAAGTAACGTGTTAACATTCTACTTGTGTAGATGTTCACCTGCCACGTAGCAGAATTACATTACGCCCATGGAAACTGAATCATTTCCTTTTCTAATTTCATAGAGCAGAGAAGAGGAAAAGGACCTTCTTCCCCGAAACATGGATTTGGCATTGTCTCAACATCAGGTACAGTAAGATTCCTTTTCTTCGTTGTGTTTGCAGGCTGACTCAAGGGCACTCGTGCAAGTCCAGATTGCCCCCAGTAGGGTTGCTTTCAGATCTGACATCAACATCTGAGTAAGACTTTGGGCATCCTTTCTTAACACATAAAAACTCAAAAGCCATGAAGTCAACCCCAAATCCCGCTGCAGCTTCGGACATCTGCTCAGGAAATATGAAATGCAGGGGCTTTGTGCCTCTCACAACTCCCACTTGGGGTAACTCTATCCGCTCTGTTTGCGTAACGAGCTCATTAAAACGATTACAGTTCCCTGGAACGTGAACTCCACCCCACCCCCCTCCATCCCCTCTTCACTCCTCAGGGGACTCAAGCTCCTGCCCACAAAACAGGCTGCTTTTCTCAGCACATTTCCTTTCCACATTTGTTCCCCCTTGTCGTTCTTTTTGAAGAAGCCCTGCTGTGCCAAATTCCTGCCAGATGCTATTGGCTGTTTTTTCTCTTTCAATGCTTGGGGTCAGAACACCAGTGGTACTAGTAGCAGAAGGATGGGGGCCTGCCCTGGGAAACTAGTTAGGCATGAAAGGTCAGACGCCCCTGGGCCATGGGTGGGCTTGCTGCTGAGCAGGTGGGGTGGGGGGAGCTTCTAGACACGAGATGCCATGGCACGTGGTCATCACAGAACCGAGCTCACAGCTGGGGGTTCCTCAAACTGCTTTCACAGATGCTTGTGTCCCCATGATGGAAAGACTTAACTCCTGGTCAGAACAGATCCAGATGATTGCATTAAGTTCCAGGGGTCTAAATCTAACATGAGCTGTCTGTCTGTAATCATTCACATGTGTCAAATGTATCTATTTTCTGGGTGCTGGATGTTTTGGGGGGCCAGGTAACATTGCTTTTTTCCCCACCTTTTGGCTGTTAGAAATAATCCTGCTATGAACACAGGTGTGCAAATAGCTCTTCCAGACCCTGCTTGTGGTTCTTTTGGGTGTATACCCAGAAATGGAATTGTTGGATCGTATGGTGATTCTGTGTTTAATCCGTTTTTGTTTCTTTGTTTGTTTGAGACAGAGACAGCGTGAACGGGGGAGGCGTACAGAGAGAGGGAGAAAGACAGAATCCCAAGCAGGCTCCACTCTGTCAGTGCAGAGCCCGATGCGGGTCTCGAACTCATGAAACCGTGAGATCATGACCTGAGCTGAAACTGAGAATTGAGAGTCGGATGGTTAACTGACTGAGCCACGCAGGCGCCCCATATGTTTAATCATTTTGAGGAACCTGTATAGTGTTTCCCACGGTAGCTGCACCATTTTACATTCCCACCAACAGTGCACAAGGGTTCTTCTCTAAGTGTTCAGTAGAATTCACCAGTGAAGCCATCAGGTCTGGGGCTTTTTCTTTGTAAACAGATTTTGGGTTATTGATTCAATCTCTTTAGAGGTCTGTTCAGTTCTGGGTCTCTTCAGATTTTGTATTTCTTTGTAATTTAGTCTTGGTTGGTTTTGCATTTGTATAATTTGCCCATTTCGTCTGGATCATCCAAGTTCTTGGCATATAGGTATTTATGTACTCTTTTATGTACTTTTTTAAAATAATCTTTTGATTTCTCAGAATGGGTAGTAATGTCCCCACTTCCATTTCATATTTTAGTAACTTGAGTCTTCTCTCTTTCTTTCCCTTAGTCTGTCTAGTTAAAGGTTGGTCAGTCTCATTGATCTTTTCAAAGAATCAACTTATGGTTTTGTTGATACTCTGTTATTTTTCTGTTCTCTATTTCCTTTATCTCTGCTCTAGTTTTTTATTATTTCCTTCCTTCTGTTAGCTTTGGGGTTAGCTTGTTTTTCTTTTTCTAGTTCTTTAAGTTGTGAAATTAGGTTGTGTATTTGAGATCTTTCTTTTTATTATTATTTAAAGTTTATCTATTTTGAGAGAGAGTGTGCACATGCTTGTGCAAGTGGGGAGAGGCAGACAGAGAGGGAGGGAGAAAGAGAAAGAGAGAGAGAGAGAGAGAGAGAGAGAGAGAGACAATGCCAAGCAGGCTCTGCACCATCAGCAACTCAGGGCTTGAACTCAGGAACCTGAGCCAAAATCAAGAGTTGGACGCTTAACCAACTGAACTACCCAGGTGCCCCAAGATCTTTCTTCTTTTTTAATACATACATAGCTAGAAATTTCCCTCTCAGCACTGCTTTTACTGCATCCCATAAGTTTTAGTGTGTTATGTTTTGTTTTCATTCATTTCTGAGTATTTTAAAATTTCCTTTGTGATCTCTTCTTTGATCCATTGGTCAATTAAGAATGTGTTGATTACATCAGCTCAGGTCGTGATCTCATGGTTTGTGAGATAGAGCCCTGTGTCGGGTTGTGTGCTGACAGCACAGAGCCTGCTAGGGATTCTCTCTGCCCCTCCCCCACTTGCATGCATGCTCTCATGCTCTCTCTGTCTCTTGAAATAAATAAATAAACATCAAAAAATATGTTCTTGAATTTCCAGATTTGTGAATTTTCTGGTTTTCCTTTTGTTACTAATTTCTAATTTTGTCTTATTGTGGTCAGAGAAGATACTTTGTATAATATCTGCCTTTCAAAATCTACTGAGACTTCATTTGTGGCCTTACTCATGATCTTGCTTGAAGACTGTCGTGTGTGCATGCCTCTGGATCTAGTTGCTTTATTGTGTTAAGTCTTCTACTTGCTTACTCATCTTCTGTCTGGTTGTTCAGCCTGTTACTCAGAACAGGCTATTGAAGTCCCCAACTATTATTGTAAGCTTTTTATTTCTTGCTTCAGTTCTTTTCCTTTTTGTATGTTTCATATATGTCAGTGGTCTGTTATTAGATGTGTAGGTGTTCGTAATTGTTGTATCTTTTTGCTGTATGGAACCCTTTATTACTATCTAATGTCCTTCTTAGTCTCTCATATACTCTTTTTTTACTTAAAGCCCCTTTAGTCTCATATCAGGATAGCCACGGCTACTTTCTCTTGGTTACAGTTGGCCTGGGATATCTTTTCCATTCTTTCATTTCCAACCTATTTTTGTCTTTGCAGCTAAAGTGAGTTTCTTGTAGACAGCAGAGAGTCAGGTCATGTTTTTTAATTCACTCTGTCGATCTCTGCTTTTTCGATTGCAGAGTTTAATCCATTTACATTTAATGTAATTGCTCATAAGGAGGGCCTTATTTCCATCACTGTGCTTTTTGTTTTCTGTGTACAGTGCACCGTGCATCTCCAGGCCCCTCACAACAGCCCAGCCAGGCTGGTGGGCAGCTCCCATTCTTGTGGCTGTTTCATGGTTATTTCGGGCAGAGGGAGCGCCCCCAGGTGGGTGGGCAGAGCCAGGTGTGGTATGCCTGTGAAAGCAGGTAACTCTGAGCAGTTTGACGAGGCTCAAGGGTCGAGATGCACAAAGGTGGGATGGGTGGGAGCTGTCAAGGCTGAGCTGGAGAGAGGGAGAACTGAGCTGTCAGGTGTTGGAGTGGCCAAGTCAAGCAATGACGAGAAGCCATAGTGAAAGTAATGGTGAAGCCCTTTCATCACTACGGTGGCAGTGTAGCCTGATGCCCCCTGTTCCGGTTTCCCCACAGAACGGAACACCTTGCAGGTGGATCAGACATGGGGGTCGTCTCACTATGGAGAGAGCCCTGGACAAACGGCTCTGGCAGTTTTATGGGCCCTGACACCTACAGAATAGAGGGAGGAGAGCTCAGAGTGGGAAAGTACTGGGTGCTGAGCCAAAGTGGGAGAAATGCCTTCGAGGTTTCCTCCCATGAGAAGGAGACCTTGGCAGAGGTCTTCAGATACCTAATGACCTTGGGGCCCAGGCAGATCCCTAAAAACACACAGAGCTAGGAATGGAGGCACTGGGGCTGGGAAGGCAAATATGGGAGAAACATGGCTGGCCAGGGGCCCAGAGTCCCTGACTGCAGTTCCCCTCAGAGACCACAGCACACTGGCTAGGCCACAAGCCTGGTGTGGGGAGGGCGGCTTTCCCCGAGGCCTGCGAGGCAAAGCCTTTGTAACAGCCTGTGGTCAGGCCTAAAAAAATCACACAAAGATTTGTAATCGAGGGTCGGGCTCTGCAGGAGTCTGTGGGACAAGGATGCCAGGCCAGGAAGGGTAGATACTCCTGAAGGGCAGGCTGGTGGCACCCAGCGTCCACAGAAAAGTTGGCTGTGCCCATATGAAGCTGGTAAAAGTTCTGCCACTTTTAATGGGAAGAGGCTGACTTGAGTTGTCACAGGGTGACAGCGTGTGGCCCTTGTAGAAGTGAGGATAGATGTCCTAGGTCCTGTGGGGCCTAGATGGGCAGCGGGGTCGCCATGTGCCGCAGCCTGGGGTCAGGCTCCCAGGAAGCAGACAGGGGTCAGGCAGGTGAGTAAGGAGCAGAGGATTCTTGCAGCAAATGTTTACGATAAATCTGGAAAGGACATCCTGGATATGCAAAGTTGACCACAGAGCCATCCTGACGTGATCAGTGGTGCCGTTGGTGGGGGTTGGGTGGGGGCGGGGTGAAGGCAGGGAGAATCGTGAGCAGCACCGTCTGCTCGAAAGATAACATCTGTAATTCCCCACGTATAACGTCAGATTGCCTAGTGCCGTGTTATAAAGGGCAAAAAGAAACAGGTGGAGTTCATTTGAATCTTATATTTTATTCAGCCCGATACATATCCCCAAACATGGTTGCTTCAAAATGCGATCAATATAAAAAATGATCGAAGATACGTTGTACTTTTTTTTTTTTTTTTTGATACTGTATGAGTTTCCTGTGGCTGCTGTCACGAAGAACCACGGACTGGATGGTTTAAAACAACAGAAATTTGTTGTCTCACAGTTCTGGAGGCCAGGCATCCGAGATCAGGGTGTGAGCAGGGCCACGCCGCCCCTGGGGGCTCTAGGGGAGGAGCCTTCCGGGCCTCCTCCAGCCCCTGGGGGCTCTGGTGCTCCTCAGCTTTTAGCTGCATCCTTCCCGTCTGTTGCCTGTCTTCACATGGTCTCCTCCTCTGTGTCCAGATTTCCTTCTTATAAGGACCCCCACCCTTAGATTGGGGCCCACCTTCGTCCAGTATGAACTCATCTTGGCTAATTTCGTCTGCAAACACCCTGTTTCCCCAAATAAGGCCACATTCACAGGTACAGGGGGTTAGGGCTTGGGCGTAACTTCTGGGAGACACAAGCCCCAAATGACTCGACCCCTCAATTCAGTGTCCTCCCCCCGCTACACTGGGCGGAGCGTGCACTGTTGTGGGTCCACCGTTGTCCTGAGAGCCACTGGTGCGCCTCATTACCTGAGTTAGGGCCGAGGGGCGGCATTCTCCTGTCACACGCCTACGTGTGTGCCAACGTGTTATGCCTACGTGCTTGTTGCCGAGCTGCAGGGGCGCCTGCCTGGGCCCCCAGGCCTTTCAGCTGCAGCCTTGCATTCCCACCTGGCTGCCTCAGCTCGGCCCTGGAAAAGGGTCCCATGGTTGTCCACCCTTCCACAGCGACCCGTCCGGCGAGGAGATGCTCAGCGTGCGGGTCCCGGACTCCATCACCAGCTGGGTGGGTGAGGCCGTGGGTCTGTCCGAGGCCTGGGGCCTGGGTGTCGCCGTGCCTGCCCTGCTGAAGACCTTCAAGCCTTTCTTTGTGGACTTCACCCTGCCCGCCTACGTGGTCCGCGGGGAGCAAGCCAAGATCCCGCTCAGCGTCTACAACTACATGGGCACCTGTGCCGAGGTACTACGCCCGCCCCCGCACACAGCCTTCCCTGTGCCCGGGGGTGGGGGGATGGCACCCGTGATGTCAAGAGGCAGGGGTGAGGGGAGGGTGTCAGCCTGAGGGGCTTGGAAGGGGACAGAGCATCTTCATTATCAGGGAGGGAGTCACCGAAGGGGCGGTCCCTGTGTTGTTGGGGAGGCAGGGGCAGGAAGTCCTGGAGGTCAGCAAAGCAAGTGCTCGGTATCCCAGTTTGTTTCTTTCTTTCTTTCTTTATTTTAAATGTTTATTTTTGAGAGAGAGACAGAATGTGAGTGGGGGAGGGACAGACAGAGAGGGAGACACAGAATCCGAAGCAGGCTCCAGGCTCCGAGCGGTCAGCACAGAGTCCTGTGCGGGTCTCGAACCCGTGAACCTTGCGATCACGACCTGAGCCAATGTCGGACGCTCTACCTACTGAGGCGCCCCGATCTCCCAGTTTATACTTGCACACTGGCCGGCCCTGGCCGCGTTACTCTGCCTGTTGGTGTTTCAGGCTCCACAAATGTCAGGGAGATAGGAGTCACCGGTGGTTACACGCTAAATGGGTTCGCAGATGCTAAGAAGGGTGTCCGCAGAGGGACCCAGACCCTGGTCATGCTGTCGAGGCTCCAGCCCCTGCAGGGGCTGTGCGGTGGGGTCTGGTGAAAAAGGCTACTTGACCCCTTTCTTGTAGCTGCTGTGACAAAGCAGTGGGAACCGGGTGGCTTGAGACAATAGAAATGTGTTGTCTCACAGTTCTGGAGGTCAGAGTCCAAGGTCAAGGTGTGGGCAGGGTGGGTTCCTCCTGGGGGCTCTGAGAGAGGGTCCGTCTGGTGCCTCAGGCCTGGCTTTGGCGGCTGCGGGCAGCCCTTGACGGTCTTCGGCTTATGGCTGCGTGGCTCCAATCTGCAACCTGTCTTCACATGGCCTTCCTTCTTCCCTCGCTTTCTCTTCCCTCTGTGAATTTCTCTCTGTGTTTCCTCTTCTAAAGATCCCAATTCTGTTGGGGTAGGGCCTACCCTAATAACTTCATGGTAACTTAATGACCTCTGCACAGACCCTGTTTCCAAAGAAAATCACGTTGACAGGTACCAGAGGGTTTAGGACTTCAACATAACTTTCCGGGGGCCACAGTCGGACGGTTACAGCTACCCCAGGGGGGGGGCTTGGGGCTGAGCTTGGAAGCTGGGGAGGAAGGCCGGCTGGCGAGGGGGGTGGCCTGTGAGATAAGGTGGGTGCATGGAGGGGAAGGGAGAGTTTCGGGGGGCAGGGGTCTGTGTATCTGTGCGGCTTGGGGAGGCCAGGAGCACTCACCCTCCACCACTTTGTAATCCTTGGGCGCTGGCTAGGCCTGGATGTCAGTGGTGGGTGGGAGGAAGGGAAGTGGGGAGGGCTCTCCGGGGTTAGAGGCAGCCCTCAGGGGCTGGAAGCCGAGGCTGTGGGTAGAGGGGTGAGTGGGGCACAGGATCAGTGGTCCAGCTGGGAGCAGGCCTGCTCTCTGCAGGTCTCAGCCTCACCCTAACAAGCCACACTCTGGGGACGTGGCTGACCTCCCCCTGGCCCTGCCCAAGTGGGTGGGGACCCCGAGGGCCGCGGGCTCACGACACACTGAGGGCAGATGTGAGCTGCAGCCGCAAAGCAGGCACCATGGAAACCAAGAGACTTCACCCCAGATTTTTGGCTTTTCCTGAAACAATGAGGACACGTGGCTAGAGAGTGACTGGAATTTGCTACCAGCGGGGTACCCAAGGCTGCCTGGGTGGGAGGCACAGCCACTACCCCGCAGCTGTGGTCCCAGCGAGTTCAGACCCCGCTGCCCCCAGAAGACCGGGCCCTGGCTCAGCACTTCCACTTACAGCCCCACTTTGCCTCAGTTACCCCATCTGTAAACTGGGCAGGAGAGCTCACCCTGGCCCCACTGACCCTCACTGGCTTTCTCTGGAGCAGGAGGGAAAGAGCAGACACGAGGGTCCCTTGTGAGTCTCAAAGGGGATGGCTGTGGTCTCTGATCATTTCTGAGCCTGGCCCGGAGGCGACAGCGAGCCCCGAGTCCCGGCTCAGCAGGTGACCTTGAGCTTGCACAAAATATTTTACTCCTTTTTTTCCTTGAACTTGCAAGTTCTAAACGTCCACTGAATGATTATGTCTGCATCAGAACATGTGGCATGTGATGGCGGGTGACAGCCTGAAGGCCAGTAAAGAAGGACTCTCGCACAGCCGTCTGGCTGGCACAGCACAAGTTCGATGCTGGTGTTTATATTTGACTTTCCCGCTGGTGTTTCTTTGATTCTACAGAAGAGCCACACGTTAATGTGTTGTCACATAGGAGCTTCTTGTCCCTTGAAACTTTTTAATTAAAGGAAAATTTCAACTGGAGGGGGGAAAAAAAAGAATAGTCGTTGCAGGTTCTGAAATGGAAATGAAACATCCAGAGGCCACCAGAAAGGGGCACCTGGGTGTGAAATGCCAGTGATTCGAATTCATTGTCACTCAGAACCAATTGTGCACGTGCTCTGTGTGTGCTGGGCCTTGTGCAGATGTCAGAGGACCCCGGGGCCCAGGACCCCCATCTGTGCTCAACCTCAGAGCGCTGTTACCACTAACCTCTGTGCCCCGTGCTGGCCTCAGGATTTTGCCTACATCGATATCAAATGCCCACGTGGGCCGGGGAAGAAGGGCCGTCGATGCAATTGTTTCCAGACAGGAAGCTCAGAGACTCATCGTTACATGCCCAAGCTCTCCCAGGGAGTTTGGGGCAGAGCTGTGTTAGAATTGAGTGTTTGCAGGGAGCCAGCGGAGCCCCGAGAAGAGGCAGGTCTCCTGAGCTCTGGAGTCATCAGGCACTGTTTGAGCCAGGCACCAGGACCCGGAAGGGCATTCCTGGAAGAGGGAACAGCATACACATGCAACAGAGGCAGGAGGCGGCTTAGCCTGTCCCGGGAATTGCCCATGACACAGTCTAGCTGGGCTTTAGGGTCTGGTAGGGAAAGCAGGAGAGGGGTGATCAGAGCCCTGTGATTTGGCTGGGTGGGAGCTGCTGTGTTGGAAAGCAAGGCGGCGGCCGGGGGGTGGCCTGAGGGGACTAAGGGGGACACGTGAAATAGGCTCAAAACAGGCAGCCGGGGAGCAGTGCTCCAAAGCCCAGTGTCTGTATGGTCCATCCTCTGTCATTCTTTTTTTTTTTTTTAGTTGTATTTATTTATTTTGAGAGAGAGCAAGAGAGAGCAAAGCATGGAGGGGGGAGGGGCAGAGAAGGGGAGAGAGAATCTCAAGCAGGCTCCAAGCTGTCGACACAGAGCCCGACGCAGGGCTGGAACCCACAAACCGTGAGATCATGCCCTGAACTGAAACCAAAAGTCAGATGCTTACTCAACAGAGCCACCCAGGTGCTCCTGTCATTCTTTTTGCATAGTGTGTAGCCAGGAGGAGTAGGACCCCCATCTTAAAAAGCCGGAATAAGTGCAAACTGATCCCTGATCAACCAGGTGGCCCCTGCAAGGGAGGGTCCTCACCGAATGGGCAGGCGGGACCCTCAGGTGCCCCTTTTAGCTGCAAGAACACGCTGGAGGCTGGTTTGTTGCACATCCCCAAGGCACCAGGGAAACGGATCCATCCAGCTCCCTCAACACGGGCAGGCGGTCATTCCACCCAGGAGCCGGAAAATACGGCCCACTGACACTTGGCTCTCAAGTTTCTTCTTTCCTCCCTGGAAGAATGTTCTGGAAGAACACTGAGTCAAGAGGGATGTGGGAGCTCCTGACGCAGCCTGCACCAGCTGCTCACACTCAGGTCCCGCCGGGCTTGTCCTCAGGCAGGATTCAGATGCTCTGTCACACTTGCCACTCGATTTTCCTCGGAACCTTCCCTCCACATCACACGTGCATGCGTGTGTGATGTAGGCGTGTTGACCCTCAGGCGTCCAGGGATCACTCGTGTCTTCTTTGACTACATTACTTTAGCTCCTAGTAGGGCCTCTGCACCCACTAGGTGCTTCACACATGCTCGTTGGACAAAAGGATGTGGACCAAGGAGCCTGGGACCAAGGCTCCATGGACCAAGTTGCAGACTGGGAGGTCTAACCGCACGTGCACATAGAGACACTCGTGTGCACACGCATGCACACATGCATTGTGCACATATGTATGCATAGACCACACCTACATGCACATAGGTGTGCACAGAGATATGTGCATGCACGCATGTGCACACACACACAGAACTCTTGTTATGACCCTGTGGACCTCAGAGCTTGGATGGAGGGTCAGGGGGAGTGCCTTGTGGGGCCTGCAGGGGGAGCGGTCCCTCCCATCTGGTTCCCATCTGGTGCCCCCCATCAGCCTTGGCCCTAAGGGGAGGCTGACCCCATGGGGTGTTGGGGGGGCCGAAGTAAAGAGAGGGCTCCCAGCAAGACCACGGTGAGTAGTGGGGAGACCTTCCGAGAAGAGCGTGGCTTTTGGAGAGGGCTGACGCGGTGGGCGGCGGCCAGTGGGATGTGTCCGGAGGGTGCACGCATCCCGGGAGCCTTGAGAGCGGCATACCTCCCTCCCCAGGTGTACGTGAAGATCTCAGTTCCCAAGGGCATCCGCTTTGTGGGGCATCCAGGCAGACGCCATCTGACCAAGAAGATGTGCGTGGCCTCTGGGGAGACGGAACCCACCTGGGTGGTTCTGTCCTTCGGTGACCTGGGACTCAGCAACGTCACAGGTGAGGCCCCGTGCTGCTTCAGGCATCCACCCCCCCCCCCCCCCCCCCCCCCCCCCCGCCCCCCGTCTGGACCCCAGGCACAGGTGAGTGGCCGGTGGGGTAGTACGTGAGGTCAAGGCCACGTTGAGAGACAGGACGGCAGCTGGGGAATGGTCAGGAGGTGGGGCGAGGCGGTCCACGAGGAGGTGGGGCGTGAGGCTTCCCCGGGAGGGCGGGCGTTCTGTTCGGACCGCAAGCGCTGAGCACACAAATCCCCACAGCCAAAGCCCTGGCTTACGGAGACACAAGCTGCTGCCGGGACGGGAAGTCCATCCGACACCTGGAGGACCACTTCGCTGACAGGAGGGGCCCCACTGGGAGGGATCACATCAGGCGCAGTGTCATGGTTGAGGTAAGCCCGTGTCCTCAGTCAGGGCACTCGGCCAGGGTCTGATTCCATCACCCACGAGGCGGGGGCCTGGCTGGGGCGGGGGCAGCCCCCACGGGTCCTGCTCTGGGGCTCGGGGCAGGCATGGGGTGTCTGCATTTCCTCGCTAGAGGCCCTCAGCATCCAGCCCCTCCGCCGTGCACCGTGGACTTGGGGAAAGCGGCCTGGGACTCGCAGGGGCCGCAGGGAAGTGTCCTCTGACCCCCATGTTGACCGTGTTGGAGGGCGATGTGCCTGTCTCCGACTTCCTGTTTGTCATAGGCAGCCGTAGGGATTATGACCTGGCATTTGGAGGCCTGTCACTAGAATGCCTGGGGCAGAAAGGACGCAGAGCCTATGCAGCAGAGGGGCCTGGGTGTTGGGGTCTCATTGACGCCCCACCTCCCCTGCTGGCTGGGAATCTAGGATCTACCGCTCCGTGTGGGCTGGGTGTATGTCTTGATAGTCCAGTCCTGCTCCGTAAATCAGGGGAGTTCACGCTCACCCCACAGTGTGGAGAGGGCACCTCGCAGTGCACGTTGGGCATGTAGTAGCAGTGATGTCCCATCTTTTGGGGGCTGCTTGGACACCTCAGAGCCCAGAGCCCTGCCAAGACTCTTCATGCTACGTGGAGAGTGCACGACAGCCCCGAGGAAGCTCCTCACGGCGTCCCCAGTGTCTGCCCCTCCCCAGGGGCTCAGCTGCAAATAGCCGCCGTCCCTCCTGGCCGTGGTCCTGGCAGCGCGGAGCACAAATGATTTCCATCAGCCTCCGGAGTCACACACACGCGCTGGACAGAACTCCCCGAGGTGGACGAGTCGTTGGCCACAGCGTGCTTGACGTGACCTGATGGATTCCTCCGGGACAAGTGGGTCCTCTGATGAGGAATGCCATCTCCGTGAGCCAGTGGGGTGAGGGGATGGCCTCAACGGGAAACACGGAGACCCCTGGCAACTCTTTGCTCGGCCTGAACGTGCTTCCCTGGCCCACAACCCGCCCTCCTGGGGCCAGAGGAGATGGCAGGCCATCCAGAGTTCTTGCCTCGTCCGTCTGCAGAAGGAATTTCTCAATGCACAGAGAGGGATTCTCAAGGGGCTCTGCCCCTGGGCCTTTCCTCCCACTCACACGGCTCAAGGGCTGCCTAATCTGCAGTATCGCTTTGTGCAGGCGGCCCTGGGGGCGGGAGGTGACAGGTGGGCATCAGAAGACCTGAGATGTCGAAGCAGAAACCCTGAAGCGTGGTGGATGAGGAAACCAGGTTTATGAAACAGGACGTGGCCGACGTGCGGCTTGATAAAGCAGCAAAGCCCTGCTGCCTCTCCACCCCGCTGGAGAGCTCCGGGTGCGCGGTCTGTTTGCCGGATCGGATATTTGGTGGACCCTCACGCGACGCTGCGTGCCTTCTGCTGGGGGCGAAACTGCACGTGGCACCAGTACCTTCCCGCGAGGTGGGGAAGCAGGTGACGGTTGGGAACCACCGCGGGCGCTAAACCGGAGGGAGGAGGAGCTGGTGCCCTCCTGCCTGGCTCCCCGATTAGCCCAGGAGACCCCGAGGACAAGGTGGGAGTATGGGAAGCACGGCCAGTCTAGAAGCAGCTGGTGAGTGGGTTTGACCAGAGCCCGGAGAAGAGGAATGAGCCTCAGTTTCCCCACTCGGGCCTAGGAGGTAGGCAGCCTGGTCCTTCTCTGGGTACCCGTGACATTGGCACCACCCTGCAGGGTCCAGACTCGGAGCCGCTGCCGTGGGAGGGCGGCCG